AAGGAAAATAATTTTCCATATTTAATTCACGTAATGTAGCTTACTAATGGTAATGGTGACAACCATAATTAAAATTGGTTCAAAATAAAATTCCGTACGACTATTAATAGACGTCCATAATAACGACAATATTTTAAAGAGTAAGCCTCTGTCAGCATGTGTATCAGAAATAATCATCACGGTAAACGACACTTAGATCTAAATCTAGTATCGCTGGTTTATAATGATTGACCTAATTCCAACCAATGCATGTCACGTGTCATCGGGATTCGGGAAATGACTGTTTCTCAGGATATTCGGTGTGTTTCTCAGGATATTCGGTGTTCTATCTGGGGTTTATATCGAATGACTATTTAAATTTAACTAACAACTGGTCAGTAAAACCATCAAATGTGTAATCCAATTATTATTTTCCGGATTATCAAAACTACCGTTAAATGTGCTAATGACCCAGATTCTGACTGAGGTATGGTGACTATCATCGTATCGTATTCGTAGCCACAAGTTATAATAATTAACCTGTGATACAAAAATGGAGGTTCTTTCGATATCAATAAAAAATACCCGTAAATGAGCGTTTGCATCTGAATCAGTTTAATACATTTGAATGGATATTCACGTATGGGGCATGTAGATACATGCGGCATATTCTTTTTATGACTTGCTTATCGATGTTCGGGCGGGCGTTACATATTTTTTATTTTTCATCAAGACTAATAAATAGGCCGCACGCGCAATCAATTTTGCGTGCGGGCGGTGCCCGAGAAACAACTTATTTTATTTGTGTTGCCTATAAGTGTCTCCAAGAAAGAGCATCAGAGTTACCTGTTAACCAACACCCCAGTTCAATATAATATGTTTATTATACTAATAGTTACGGTAGAAGTAGTTTGTTTATTTTTCAGGCTAGTTTAGATAATTTTCGTTTTAGCTCTATACTGATTCTCATTATACCGACCATCTTTTAATGCTTATAGACTTGTTATATCACATTGTACATCCATAAAGGATCACCCCAGATGTTATGTTATAATTGTATGATCAATTTTTGTTTAAACTGTGTATGCTGTCCTTGGTGGATGCAATGATACAAAAAAAAAAAATCATATCCCTCTGTGCCCCCCCCCCCCAAACTGTCTACGGACCTAATACAAGTGAGACTTACCTCAGATATTATTGTAATAATAAGAGATAAAATAAGTGATATTATTACAGGTGTAGATGGCAGTAGATGTTTTAATGGATGATATTCACTCCCCTTAAAATATCTTAAAATAAAATAAACACTGAAAATAGAAAAAATAAAATGAAAATTTCAAGTTTAAGCAAAATAGTTATTTTTGGGTCTGACATATGCTACATCTTCACCTTCAATAATTGGCTTGTATATATGCAGGGTTCTTTATCAGTGGGAGAAAACTCAAGAAGTAAGGCAGGTGTCCATATTCCCTCCATATCAAATCCAAGCAATTTACGTTAATGACAAATAATCAAAAGGGCACACATTCGGTTTCCAAAAGTACATACCCAAAATCACGCAAGAGCACACAAGGGGGGTTTAACTTCCACTTGACACAAACTAGGTCATTTTGGGACTAACATATGATTCAATTTTATTTCAATCATTTGCTTGCGTGCAGTGGGAGGAAAACGGAGGACCCAAATGAAAACCAACGAGATTGGACAGGCGACCTTACTCCTTGACACATACAACCGGGATTTCGAAACCACGACAGATGACACCATGATTCAATTACAGACTTTATGATACAATGTATGAGCACACGCTAACCATTCGGCCATCCAATGAGCACACGCTAACCATTCGGCCATCCAACCCCTCAAAAAGAGGTTACAAAGTAAGTCTTACCTATGTGGTATTATGATATAAGTCTTACCTATGTGGTATTATGGTGTAAGTCTTACCTATGTGGTATTATGATATAAGTCTTACCTATGTGGTATTATGGTGTAAGTCTTACCTATGTGGTATTATGGTGTAAGTCTTACCTATGTGGTATTATGGTGTAAGTCTTACCTATGTGGTATTATCATGTAAGTCTTACCTATGTGGTATTATCATGTAAGTCTTACCTATGTGGTATTATCATGTAAGTCTTACCTATGAAGTATTCTTGCTAACATATTTAAACAGTTGGCTAGTATAAAACCCACACTACCCAGCACTTTAGTTAAAAACCATGATGACGTCAAAAAGAGAACAGAAAATATAAACATCTTATGGTTATATCTGAAAGATAAATAACAAGATCCATAATACCTGGATGATAAATCTGAGAAATTTATAATTAGAAAAATTATAATCAAAATGGATCTTGTTTTAATATCCCTTTGTTAACTTTTGTTCGGCACATCATAATTAATAAATCACTCATTATCACTGCCTCAATATGCTGATCAGCGTTGTATGTGTGTGTACAGTTTAGGCTGTAGCTAGACAATGGACAGACAAATACACCCTACTACATGCGGCAGATGATCCTTGTGACGTGAACATGTCTTGTTGCATCTATTTGTACTGTGCATATTGTTCGCTTACAACTATCCATTATCCCTGCAACCAATGGAATATTTTGAATAATTTTTGTTTAAATATTTTATCTTTTTCAATTTGCAAGGATTGTTCAATGTGCCATTATCAGAAATTTATCCTACTTTGGTTCCATGTAAAGTGTAACATTCATATGTAACATTCATATGCTAACATTCATATGTTAACATTCATATGTAACATTCATCCGACTTACTTATCTACATCATCTTTACTCATGGCAGCAAAAACAAAACCTTCTGTAGTACCATTAATAGCAATAACTAATACATATAGACAGTACCATTTTAATAATATTGGCCCTATAATAAATACATATAGACAATACCATTTTAATAATATTGGCCCTATAATAAATACATATAGACAATACCATTTTAATAATATTGGCCCTATAATAAATACATATAGACAATACCATTTTAATAATATTGGCCCTATAATAAATACATATAGACAATACCATTTTAATAATGTAGACCCTATAATAAATACATATAGACAATATCATTTTAATAATATTGGCCCTATAATAAATACATATAGACAATACCATTTTAATAATGTAGACCCTATAATAAATACATATAGACAATATCATTTTAATAATATATATAAGCCCTATAATAAATACATATAGACAGTACCATTTTAATAATATACTGAGCGCCATGGAAAACGCATCACTTAGTTTTTCGTATAACAAAATGATCCTGTGAACATATCTTATTTAATTTGCTTCTTATTGTGAACAATATTCAAATGGGAACACATCAATAACAACACATTTGTACACTTATGGATGTTTAATCTGTAATCAAGGGTACAAAGTCAGAGGGGTCAAAACCAAAAGTACGACACAGATGTCAGTAGTGCGTGTGTCCTCCACGGGCTCTTACGCACGCTGTGCAGCGACGTCGCCTGGGGAAAACTGTTCCATTCTTGGACAAGAGCAGCTTCTAAAGCAGCAATGGTGTGCATCTGTGGTCTCCGATACAGACGGCGTCCAATCTCATCCCAGACATGTTCTATCGGTGCCATCAGCGTGATAAAGATGAAAGCGACTCTCATCACTGAAGAGCACACTTTGCCAGTCTACTCTTCTCCATGTCTGGTGTCCTTGAGCCCATATCAAATGCCGCTGACGGTGATGATTCCTGAGGATAGCTCCAACATAAGGTCGTCATGCACGGAGTCCTACTTCTCTTAGACGACGTCTTACGGTGTTGGCACTTATTGGTCCTTGTCTTCTGACGACTGCTGCACATGTTCGAGTCGCTGGGTGGAATCTGTCACACAGATGAGTGACCCGGATGTAGCGGTCTTGAGCCTGGGTTGTAACGCGTTGTGGACCAGGACGTTGACGGTCACGTGTTGATCCAGTAACTCGAACACGTTCCACCAACCTTACAATAGTGGACTGGTGACAATTGAAGTGTCTGGCAATAGAACGTGTAGACATGCCAGCCCCGGACATTCCCATGGCTTCATTCCGTTGATTTTCAGTAAGTCTCGGCATCTCTAGCTCGATTCCTTCACACTTCGAACAACAAATTATGACAGATTGACGTTTCACAGTTCATGTACTGCACATTAAGTTGAAAACATGCTTTTAAAGGGCTCACACACAATGCTGCACGTGAATATTAGGTGCACCTTGTGCAATTTTTTTTTTGCACACAGGCCGATATTTTTTGCGTTTGGGAGCATTGTGTGAAACAATAGTTCATAGGATTGCATAATATTATACATACAAAACCACCTAGTAATAAAATATTTGGGAAAAAAAAGTGATGCGTTTTCCATGGCGCTCAGTATATAAGCCCTACAATAAACACATATAGATATATATATTTTGAAATAAAAACAAGTCATCCAACATCTGAGAACCAGAATATTTTTTCTATATCGTCTAACAGCCTTCCAATATAAACTGTCAATAGGGTTTAACGTCTACTCAACACAAACTAGTGACATATGATACAGTTCCATTTCAATAGCTCAGTGGTCATATAGGTCTTTAGTAGTGGGAGAAAACTGGAGCACTCGGAGTAAACCCATGAGCTTAGGCAGGCAATCAAACCCACTTCTTGTCTCGTACATCTGTGGGTTTGAAACCATGTCTCTTGACTCAATGATAGACCTTATGATCTAAAGAGCCAGTGTTAGGTCATTCACCTCCTCTCAATTCCCCCTTCCCCACCTTGTCAAATCATACCTTTTAATGGCATCACTAGAAATTTGCAACTAACCTGAACCTGAAGTAAGAATTTGTCCTCCATATAAATCTAACGCCAGGTAGGAATAAGAATAACCAAACACTAATATAATAAAACCAATTAAGGTTACGATCTTCAATAGAGATCCTAAAACATCACAACACAGTTCCACAGATTCCTGGAATGTATTATAATAAAACCAATCAGAGTTATAGAGATCTTAAAACATCACAACACAGTTCCACAGATTCCTGGAATATAACAGAAGGTTCAGCAATCTCCTTTCATTAATAACTTGATTTTGCAGTTTAGGCCATGTCACTTAAACGTTTGTTTTTTGGGAACACATATGAAAGGTTTGTTTTATATTTAATGAGTGAACCAGCGGCTGCCAGGCAGGATACGCCCACATTTTCGAGAGATGGATAGAGAACAAGCTAAAAAGAAAGTGATTTTTCGTACAATCAGAGGCCATAAAAGTTACGGTCTGATATGCGCGAATATCGAAAGGAACCGAGATCTTTGGGTTATAAAATTTGGTTTTGGACCGATTTTCACGAAATTCGAACTCAGTCGTCCTTAAGGTCTAACTGTGATATAATAATACGTCTTTTTAAATCGGATAAAAATTATGACCTCTATGGGGTCCACAAGCTAAAATTGCGATTTTTCGTACAATCAGGGGCCATAATTCAGGAAGTTACGTTCCGATATGCGCGAATTTCACAAGGAACCGAGATCTTTGGGTTATAAACTTACATTTCAAGTTTCATCAAAATAGGATTAAAATTGTGACCTCTATAGGGTTCACAACCTTGATATACAATATTTTAAAGCTATTTGAGAACGAAGGGCGGCCATTTTGTCTGTCAGTTTTGGGCCGATTCTCAGGAAATTCGAACTTAACCATCCTTAGGGTGTAACGGTGTTATAATAATACGTTTTTTTAAATCGGATAAAAATTATGACCTCTATAGGGTCCACAAGCTAAAAACACGATTTTTCGTACAATCAGGGGCCATAATTCAGGAAGTTACGGTCCGATATGCGCGAATATCGAGAGGAACCATGATCTTTGGGTTATAAACTTACATTTCAAGTTTCAAAAACATCGGATAAAAATTGTGACCTCTATAGGGTCCACAACCTTGATATACCATATTTTTACGCTATTTGAGAACGAACGGCGGCCATTTTGTCTGTCAGTTTTGGGCCGATTTTCAAGAAATTCGAACTCAGTCGTCCTTAGGGTGTAACGGTGATATAATAATACGTTTTTCTAAATCGGATAAAAATTATGACCTCTACAAGGTCCATAAGCTAAAAACGCAATTTTTCGTACAATCAGGGGCCATAATTCAGGAAGTTACGTTCCGATATGCGCGAATTTCACAAGGAACCGAGATCTTTGGGTTATAAACTTACATTTCAAGTTTCATCAAAATAGGATTAAAATTGTGACCTCTATAGGGTTCACAACCTTGATATACAATATTTTAAAGCTATTTGAGAACGAAGGGCGGCCATTTTGTCTGTCAGTTTTGGGCCGATTCTCAGGAAATTCGAACTTAACCATCCTTAGGGTGTAACGGTGTTATAATAATACGTTTTTTTAAATCGGATAAAAATTATGACCTCTATAGGGTCCACAAGCTAAAAACACGATTTTTCGTACAATCAGGGGCCATAATTCAGGAAGTTAAGTTCAGATATGCGCGAATATCGAAAGGAACCGAGATCTTTGGGTTATAATCATACATTTCAAGTTTAAAATAAATCAGATAAAAATTATGACCTCTATAGGGTCCACAAGCTAAAAACGCGATTTTTCGTACAATCAGGGGCCATAATTCAGGAAGTTAAGTTCAGATATGCGCGAATATCGAAAGGAACCGAGATCTTTGGGTTATAATCATACATTTCAAGTTTAAAATAAATCAGATAAAAATTGTGACCTCTACAGTGTTCACAAGCTAAAAACGTGATTTTTCGTACAATCAGGGGCCATAATCCATGAAGTTACAGTCCGATACATGCTAATATCGAAAGGAACCGAGATAAAGGTGATAAACCTATATTTTAAGTTTCATTGAAATCGGATAACCAGTGGCTGCCAGGCAGGATACGCCCACATTTTCAAGAGATGGATAGAGAACAAGCTAACAAGAAAGTGATTTTTCCTACAATCAAGGGCCATAATTCAGGAAATTACAATTCGATATGCGCATATATCGAAAGGAACTGAGATCTTTGTGTTATAAACTTACATTTCAAGTTTCAACAAAATCGGATAAAAATTGTGACCTCTATAGGGTCCACAACCTTGATATACCATATTTTTACGCTATTTGAGAACGAACGGCGGCCATTTTGTCTGTCAATTTTGGGGCGATTTTCACAAAATTCAAACTCAACTGTCCTTAGGGTGGAACGGTAATATAATAATACGTTTTTTTAAATCGGATAAAAATTATGACCTCTAATGGGTCCACAAGCTAAAAACACGATTTTTCGTACAATCAGGGGCCATAATTCAGGAAGTTACGGTCCGATATGGGCAAATATTAAAAGGATCCGAGATCTTTGGGTTATAAACTTATATTTCAAGTTTCAACAAAATCGGATAAAAATTGTGACCTCTATAGGGTCCACAACCTTGATATACCATATTTTTACGCTATTTGAGAATGAACAGCGGCCATTTTGTCTGTAAATTTTGGGCCGATTTTCATGAAATTCAAACTCAGATGTCCTTAGGGATCTAACAGTGATATAATAATACGTTTTATGACCTCTATAGGGTCCACAAGCTAAAAACGCGATTTTCCGTACAATCAGGGGTCATAATTCAGGAAGTTACGGTCCGATATGCACGAATATCAAACGGAACCGAGATCTTTGCGTTATAGACTTACATTTCAAGTTTAAACAAAATCGGATAAAAATTGTGACCTCTATAGGGTCCACAACCTTGATATACCATTTTCTTACGCTATTTGAGAACGAATGGCGGCCATTTTGTCTGTCAATTTTGGGCCGATTTTCACGAAATTCGAACTCAGTCATCCTTAGGGTGTAACGGTGATATAATAGAACGTTTTTTTAAATCGGATAAAAATTATGACCTCTATAGGGTCCACAAGCTAAAAACGTGACTTTTCGTACAATCAGGGGCCATAATTCAGGAAGTTACTGTTTGATATGCGCAAATATCGAAAGGAACTGAGATCTTTGGGTTATAAACTTACATTTCAAGTTTCAACAAAATCGGATAAAAATTGTGACCTCTATAGGGTCCACAAGCTAAAAACGTGATTTTTCGTACAAACAGGGGCCATAATCCATGAAGTTTCGATCCGATACATGCCAATATCGAAAGCAGCCGAGATCTTTTGGGGATAAACCTATATTTCAAGTTTCGTCGAAATCGGATAAGAATTGTGACCTGTAGAGAGTCCTCAAACAATTGTGGACGGATGGACGGACGGACGGACAGGGGCGACGGCATAATATGTCCACATGAAAATGTGGGCGTATAAAAATTGTGACCTGTAGACTCTTCACAAACAATTGTGGACGTCCGGACGGACAGGGGCGACGACAATATACGTCCACATGAAAATGTGGGCGTATAAAAAACAAGAAAAAAAAATGAGTGAAAAAAATTTAAAAACCAAACAACACCAATCTGATTAAAATAAAGATTTATATTTCGTTTTGTTTTTTACACTTTCCATGGCCGGCACTACATGAAGATCTAACCAGTTACAGTGAATGATCGCTTTTGACCCTATGACACCAGACATTTGATTAACAAATCAGGGTTGATGTTTCTAGTGGGATATCCACAGCTGCGTGCATCGCACGCCAAGAACTTGCCGTAAAAGACCGTTTCATTGGTTAATCCATCACATCAATCAGAACGCAGGTTATATAACAACTCTTCCAGATCCTAGTGTAGTAAAGACAAGTAGAACGAAATTTTCAACAATAAAAAACGATACGAAATAGGATCTGTGTTTTAATCAAATTGAAAACAATGCTTGTTTTACCCACCTTTTTCTGTTTGTGTATAGCAACACCCCTTGTTAATGACTGGGAAAAAAATAAATAACCATTTTCTTCTATAGGTAAAAATATAAATCTGGCTGCCATAGATCCCAAATTATTGATGACATCATAAATACCTGGATTTATACAAAGTACAAGAAATATTGGTTAAGGGAGAGATTTGAAATTCAAAAATGAAAAACACTACTCTCAACCCAAATGAGATTGATGGATTTTCAATATACCGGTAATAGCCAAGACTTCGGCCAAGATAACCAAAAATACCAACTGACAACTGTCTTTGGAACAGTTAATTAAACAACATTATGCAATAGCTAAATCTGCCTATTGCAGGTTTTTCTTTAGGCCTTAAATGTTATCTAAATTATTAACTAGACATTAATTAACTGATCCAGACCATAATCAACTCTCGATGGCATCGCTAGCCTGCAATATTTGTTGGATTAGGTTTCGATTTCCTGTTCGACTTCCATTCATAAATTAATCATTAAATGGATAATAGAGTCTATAATTTTAACCTATCGACTTAAGTAATGATGATCGAGGCTAGGTCGAAAATTCAATCGCTAAAATCACGGTTCATAGTGGATCAATTTGACTGAAATTTTCAGCAAATTCCCTTTACATTATCTAATTTTCAACCATTATAATGAGAACTGCCAGCTCTTTATCTAATCTCCCATAATGTATCTTTAAGCAGTACACATATTTGATCATGCATCCAGAAAATGGGACTTTTTGAGACTAACACGTGGTAAATCATTACTGAGCATGAAACCCAGGGCATTATTAAAACTTTTTAAGGCAACTTTAATGTAATGTAGCTGTCAGTTTCCATGGTAACTCAGTGTACAAGTATATCATAATCTGGGGTGGCATTTGACAGTTTTCGCAAAATTATGGCGTGGTGCTGTCTAGATAGATCAAAGTGGGGGACCTTGCTAAAAAATGTCTATGGGAAACCTTCATTATATCTTTATCAATATATACAGACAGATCTCTTTAGCAGAAAACCTAATAAAACCCAAAGGTCAACCAACCAACCATTTACTATATCAGAGAGTTTATCAAACTAATCTTACCTTGATCAGCAAAACTCAACACTTTAAAAAATGTCATCACAAACTTTTCACCTGAAATATATCAAATGAAACCTTGTAAAAAATATTTTTAAAAAATTAACTGGAAACATCTCTTCAATATGTAACTTTTCCCCCAGGGGTTTTCTTCAGGTTCTCAAAATTCTTACCACTGCAAAAGATCCCTATGCACAAGCGAATCAGTGTAATAAACATGTACCATGCATTTGTGCTAGAAGGCTCCATTTCTCCTCCCTCTATTTCTAAACTTGAACCAAGGCAAAAAAGAAGTGAAGATTACGAACCTTCTGTCAAGAGTTGTTTTAAAAATGACTGTTTAAAGAAACTCCATGTTAAACTGGCATAATGACTGTCAATAGATGGCTGAAAAAACAAAATAATAACTTTATTAGAACCACAGATGATTATAAATTCATCAATAAGTTTCATCCGGGGGTCTCACTACAACTGGGATATCGAGTGGTTGTGCTGTTTTAGTGGGAGTTTCTGCATTTAAAGATACATTATAGGAGATTTGATAATGAGTTGGCAGTTCTTATTATAATAGTTAAAGATAGGTTGCCAGGCAACGAAACATACACCCACAGCAGCTAAATCGTCCGGGCAATCAACAAGTGTTGTCGCATATTTTTACTTCTTTCGGTAATGAAACATTTATAATACACTAAAATCTGATTAAGAGTAACAACTCATGAAGTAATTATCAGAAAACCATGGTAACGTTTAGTATACAAAACTTTTAATATCATGGATTTAGCTGTTCAAGTCATAAAAATTCATTGAAAATCAATATACTTGCTCGTCTTAAGCTCTTAAACTCTGTGTATCATTCTGAAGTCAATCAGATGATAACTTTAGCCTTTAGAGAGTCACAAAGTGATCAAGGGCCATAATTTTGGCAGTAATTATTGGAAATCATTGAAAATCAATAGGATTCTTTTTCTCATGACCTTAAACACTGTGTATAAATTTAAAGTCAATCGGATATTAACTTTGGCCTTTAGAGTGTTCACAAGATTTTTCAAAGTGATCAAGGGCCGTAACTCTGGCAGTAATTATCTGAAATCGCTGAAAATCAATAGGCTTCATCGTCTCATGACCTTAAACACTGTGTATAAATTTAAAGTCAATCGGATATTAAGGTTTTTTGCAGTGATCAAGGGCCATAACTGGCAGTAATTATCGAAAATCGCTGAAAATGAATAGACTTCTTTGTCTCATGACCTTAAACACTGTGTATAAATTTAAAGTCAATCGGATATTAACTTTAGCCTCTAGAGCGTCCACAAGATTTTTCAAAGTGATCAAGGGCCGTAACTCTGGCAGTAATTATCTGAAATCGCTGAAAATCAATAGGCTTCATCGTCTCATGACCTTAAACACTGTGTATAAATTTAAAGTCAATCGGATATTAAATTTGGCTGTAGAGCGTCCACAAGATTTTTCAAAGTGATCAAGGGCCATAACTCTGGCAGTAATCATCGGAAATCGCTGAAAATCAATAAGCTTCTTCGTCTCATGACCTTAAACCCTGTGTATAAATTTAAAGTCAATCGGATATTAACTTCGGCCTTTAGAGCGTCCACAGGATTTTTCGAAGTGATCAAGGGCCATAATTCTGACAGTAATTATCGGAAATCGCTGAAAATCAATAGGCTTCTTCGCTTCATGACCTTAAACACTGTGTATAAATTTAAAGTCAATCGGATATTAATTTTAGCCTCTAGAGCGCCCACAAGATTTTTTGAAGTGATCAAGGGCCATAACTCTGGCAGTAATTATTGGAAATTGCTGAAAATCAATAGGCTTCTTCGTTTCATGGCCTTAAAGACTGTATATAAATTTAAAGTCAATCGGATATTAACTTTCGCCTCTAGAGCTTGTGGACGCCGGACCGGCATTTCAATGTGGGCGTATAAAACTAGATAATGTAAAGGCAATTTGCTGAAAATTTCATTCAAATTTATCCACTATGAACCCAGAACTAAGCGAATGAAATTTCCGCCTAGCCTCGTTCATCATTGCTAAAGTCAGTACGATAAACAGCATAGTCTCGATTATCCATTTAATCGTTAAATCGCGAAGGAAAGTTATGCAGTAAATCGGCTCATAATCCACTACAGATCGCAGGCTAGCCATGCCATCTAGAGTTGATTATGGTCTGGATAAGTTAATTAATGTCTAATTAATAATTGAGATAACATTTCAGACTTAAAGAAAGACCTGCAATAGACAGATTTAGCTCTTGCATAATGTATGTTTAATGTAATCTGGTTAAAACACAGATCGTATTTCATTTCTTTTTTATAATTCAAAATTTCGTCTTTACTACACTAGGATCTGGAAGAGTTGTTATTTAACTCGTGTTCTGAATGGTGTCAGGGATAAGCTAATGAAACGGTCTGTTACGGCAGCTTTGGGCGTGTTTTGCACGGAACTGCGGGTAATCCACTAGTAACATCAATGCTGATTGGTTAATCAAATGTCTGACGTCATGGAGTCAAAAGTCGGTCTTTTGACCCCTGACGTGACCTATCACTATAACTTGTCAGATCTTCATGTAGTGTAGGCCATCGAAAGTATAAAAAAACGAAACGAAATATAGATCTGTATTTTAATCAGATTGTGTTTAATGTTTAGTTTCAAACCATGGTTGGCAAATTGTTAAATTTTGTTGAGAATCATCGAAAAATATTGAGTTCCTGTACTTTAAAATGTTCCATCTAGATTAGATAACGAGGGTTGGGTTTACAACTGTCTACTTTCCCCGAGCACTACACGAAATGAAATGAAAAGGGGTTTAACGTTCTGCTCCAAACTGGGCTAATGAAGACGGGCATACGCCATAAAGTGTGCTATGTGGGAAATTTTGCCCGTACAGCAGCACTATAGCCTACTCTTATATCAAATTCCAACTTTCAAGGGATCTTTTACGTGAACGAGAATGTGTACACGGGACCTCGATTTTTCGTCCCATCCGAACGAAACGCCGGAAAATCTGGATGTACTTTCTCGGCCAATGCAGGGATCGAACACCCGACCTCCAGACTAGCGAGCCAGTGTCTTACCCACTTAGCCATCGTGACCTCTTGAGCACAACACCAAGTTGTAGTGACTGGATGACTCAGTGACAAAGGTGCTGGCTCACTAACCAAGAGGACCTGGGTTCAATCTCAGTGTTGGCCGAGAAAGTGGCTCAGGACTTTACATCCTAGTGCAGGCAGGGAGAACATAATATCTAGGAAATAAATACAAGATTTTCTTACTTTATCTTTAAGTTTTTTGGGTAGGAAATCGCCAACACTTTTAAAAGGAAAGTCATCTGTCTTTTTAACCTTTGACATATTGTTTATAAAATAACCATAGTACAGAACAACATACACTAGCACCGATATAATCTGTCAAATATACAATAACATAAAGACTGATATAAACTGTCATATATACAGTAACATAAAGACTGATATCATCTGTAATATATACAATAAAATAAAGACTGATATCATCTGTAATATATACAATAAAATAAAGACTGATATCATCTGTAATATATACAATAAAAGACTGATATCATCTGTAAAATATACAATAACATAAAGACTGATATCATCTGTAAAATATACAATAAAAGACGGATATCATCTGTAAAATATACAATAAAAGACTGATATCATCTGTAATATATACAATAAAAGACTAATATCATCTGTAAAATATACAAGAAAATAACATAATCTGTAATATACAATAACATACAATAGGTTTGATTGATTGATGTAGTCAATCAAAATAATAACTCAACCAATCAAATGCCCTCTGTTTTTGTATGTAGGGAAGACATCTTGATGCCATCTGAGTCAGTACTTTATCTTACATAACATTAAAACTGCCTAAAGAGTAAGCATACATGACACCTGTAACCATTTATATCTAACCAGAGAGATGGTTTGGGTCTGGATTTCAGAAACCGAAAGCTACTGGGTAGAAGATATCAGCAATGTCACCAGAATTTGCTAGTTTGTCAAGGGTTTAGACAAACTAGCTGTTTACCTGGTGTTGCACGGGAAGAGCCCGTCGATGCTTCCTTAAATAGGTTCCATGAAATCGGAAGTAGTTTAACTCTGAAACCAAAATTGGTAGTGCAACGCCACCAGGCCTATGTCACTCCCTGGCTCAAGCTGCCCTTAGACCCCATATTTCAGCTGCAAGACAGCCATAGTGTAGCTGTAGCTACAGACAAACAGCAGTCACAAATATATATATTATATAGATAAAATTAACTCGAGAAGATGAAATTATTGGATGACCGATATAAATGATTAACTAGTCTTACCTGTGCAATACAGAAATTGATGATACCAAGATCAGGTGAATATATAATTAAAATAACAGTAAGTAAACATTTTACACCCTGAGAGATTCCATAAAATAAAACCTACAAATAAAACACAAACAATTATATGTTCATTTTAATACTGCACAAGTTAAACAGTCACAATATATTACAAGGACCAAGCCCCACAAAAAAATCCCAAAAATAAAATTCTCTGTTTTTCAAACTTCCGGTCTAATGAAGACAGATCTACGACATGTAGTAGTGTGTTACCAGAGAGAGAGAGAGAGAGAGAGAGAGAGAGAGAGAGAGGGTTTAACCTCCACTTGACACAAACTAAGTCATTTTGGGACTAACATATGGTTCAATTTTATTTCAATAATTCACTTGCATGTAGGGGTCTTTAGCAGTGGGAGGAAACCGAAGGACTCAGAGAAAACCCACGAGGTTGGACAGCCGACCCTACTCCTTGTCACGTACAACCGGGGAATCGAAACCATGCCAGTTGACTCGATGACAGACCGTATGATACAGCGCGCATGTGCTAACCCCCATTAGTGTTTTATGAGTGTGGAGCTACGGTGGCTAATTTGGTAAGACGCTGGCTTGCTAGCCTGGAGGTCGAGTTTTCGATCCCTGCATTGGCCGAGAAAGTTCATTAGGATTTTCCAGCGTGGTTTCCCCTTGTCAGTGGTGCAGGATGGGGGCCCTGACAAGGACAGCTGTCTAGTCTTTTGGATGGGACAAGAAAAAAAGATCCTGTGTATACACTGGCATGCACATAAATATCCCTTGGAAGTTGGAATTCGATATAAGAGTAGGCCATAGAGTTGCTGCACGGGCAAAATGTTCCTCATAGCACACTGTATGGCGTATGCCCGTCTTTATTAGCCCATTCGTGTTATGAGTGCACTTTTGCCTGGACTACGACGACGTGATTTACTCTTATTTCAAATTCCAAATGTCAAGGGTTCTTTTCACGAATGCCAACATGTAGACAGTACCTCAGTTCTTCATCTCATCATCTTCAATAGAAGGCTTGATCTCGCCTTAACTCTGTACATCTTATCAAGCCCTTCAACTAATACCCTGAATATTTTGGCACTAATTCCGATTGGGTACAAGCCCAACTTGAGAGCCTATCAGATTCCTCAATCATCCCAAATACCAAGTCTCATGCTTTTCAGCTACAATTTCTACCTGTGATAATCGAGTTGCAAAGTTCAAGGTTCGTTCAATGTCAAGGTTTCCGCCGAGAACGCTATGTTTGATTTGAGTGTGTTTATCTCCCAAAATCTGATTGGACGCTGCTCTTCATTTGTCTTTGGCAATTGCAAAGTAATCTAGCAACGGCCTGATGTTGTAAAACTAGCGGTCGTTGCTTCAGGAACATGTCATCCCATCTCAACGAACTAGACATTGTTCCATGCTACAATACATCAATACACCGAATTCTAAAAAGGAAACTAAATTACTTTTAATTTGACAAACATAAACGCTTGGCCTACTATGACTAAAGGTTCTGCTATAACTTCAATAACAGTAGATATAGCAAAGCAGATAACACCAATATTATAATATGGTATTAACTGTGTATCGGGTACATCTACCATATATAACCATACAAAACTAAGCAAACTGCAACACACTATAGCCACTGGAAATCTGAAATAAAATAAAAAAATACATTTGGTCAGATTCATAATCCAATAGGGCTGGGTATCGATAGTGATTTTTACTATCGATAATCGGCAATGAAATGTCGGTCGATAATCGATAGTATCGAAAACAAACTTATTTTCACGGTCGTCATCAAGACTGGATACAGTGTAAGTTCAAAGTTCAAAACCATATGAAGTTGCGAGCCGAAAGATCGTTTGCTCCTGTCTAAGGAGATTTATTTGGAAAACATTAATAAAACTTGTTATATCACATATATATACGTAAATTGATGTTGTTTATTATTAAAATAATGCAGCCGTGGTTCCGAATGAAGAAATATCATAAACAATTATGTTAAAGATACATTATGGGAGATAAGATAAAGAGATGGCAGTTCTCGCTATAATAGTTAAAAACTAGATAGTGTAAAGGTAATTTGCTGAAAATTTCAGTCACATTGATCCACTATGAGCCGAGAAAGAAGCCGGTGAAATTTTTGCATAGTCTCGGTTATCATTACTAAAATCATTAATATAAACAGCATAGTCTCGATTATCCACTTTTTCTGATTTAATTATCTTTGGCCGTTAGCGGCATATAGGAATCTAGTCCAGCCTACATCGAAGGCTAGCCTTGACATCGAGAGTTTGTTATGGTCTGGATAAGTTAATTAATGTCTAATTGATAATTTAGATAACATTTCAGGCCTAAAGAAAGACTTGTAATAAGCAGATTTTGCTCTTGCATAATGCATGTTTAAGGGACCAAAATGAACTTGTTCCGATTCAAAACATTGCGTACGTGCGCGCGAAAATATCAATATGGCAGACGAATTCTGAAGCTTGCAAAGGGAAATAACTCTAACTTTATTTACACATCCGGGTATCTCCGATTTAGCGATATTCAACAATAATTTCTTCAAAACTAAAGTAAAGTTTCAATGAGAGTGAATTTATAAAAACGGCTGTTCAATAAGCAGTCACAATTTTGTTATGTGTTACATTGATACTTGATAGTAATTAAAGTGAGCGGTGTATTATGATTAACTGAAAGAAAACATTGACATTTCAGACGCAAGAAAAATAGACGAAGAGCGATAATCGATAGTAACCCACCGCTATCGATAGTGCTTTTCTGGGCCGTCCAATCGATACTATCGATTTATATCGATATTTTACCCAGCCCTATAATCCAACATTCATATAATAAAATTTACTGATAAAAGTTTTGAGTTCAATTAGGGAGCGATATGTTGATAATCTTTTTCTTCTGCAAGAAGGTTGGTGTGCGCCATGTGCACAACTCAACTGTCTAGTATTTACACTTGAGGTGGCAACTCTGAAAAATCAATGCACAAATTTGGTTTTCACTAGAGTTTCTCCTTAGGACTATTCACACAATCCAAGCAAGTTTCAACAGAAATTCTCAAAAACTCTGAGCTGTGGAGTGTTTGACAGAATAGTACTTGGACATGACTGAAGTTAGGGCATATACAAATAAGACTACTAAATAATGCCATATATTAGTTTGGCCATATTACAAATATATTCTACAGTAAAAATCCAGGGCAGTCATTTACCATAAAAAATTAGAAAATCCAAGAAAAATTAGAAAATTAATAAAGGGAAATCTAAACAAAAAAAAGCATATAAAAATTAACTTACGTACACCAAAGAAGATTTATTATTTGCTGCCAATTTTTATGTTCACTTTTACTTAAGCAGGCTTTGTCAAACGCTTCCTTGGCTAAAAACAAAGTTGTGGAATACAGCAACGTCAGTCTAAAATAAAGAAAATTAATATTACATTACAGAACTGTGCAAAATTCATCTACTTTTTTTTTTTAAAGGGACAATCCAATTTTTTTACACTTACTCTTCTTCGATTTACAGCTGTCACAGGTTTTTGGAGTGCATGTCAAGAGGTAGGAGGAGAAGAACCGGCTCCTGTATTGTAGTTACATTTGTGGATTGATTTAGTTGAAATTACTTCCCTTTATTAAACAAACTCATAATGCACTTGGCTAACTGAACCTGCTCAGATAGGTGGTTGATCTTTAGAGACTACATTTATGCAACCTATACGCATCTTTATTCTGTCTTGGTTGGTGTGTGTGATAGGTTGATGCGTTATTTCTAACCTAATTGGATATCTATTTCCTGGGGATCAGTGCTATGTGCTGTTTCAGTCAGTCAAATCAATGACCCCGAGTTTGAATTTTATATCCTTTATTGAACTTGTTGTCATGAAACCCAAACTGATAAATAATACAAATTATACCTGACGTTAACCACACCCAACATATCTCTGGTAATAAATCGTAAAACAAATGCATTTAACAGGAATGTCATAATCCGCAAAGAAAACTGAAAAAAAAAAGAAAAATTTGCTTTAACAAAATATTAAATCCATATAAAAGGCTGAATACATATAGCTGTTTCATGAATATGGTAATCTTAAAAATATAAAATTTCTTTGAAATAGGTGAGAGAAATATGATAAATACAATATTGTATTGTATCCCTTTCTCTTCTAAATTTGTTTTAGGCAGCTTAAGGTAAAACATTGCTTGATCTGGATAATTACTGAAATTATTGGGTCAGTATGTTGACCAAAAGAAGTGACTGATTATACTGTACCAATAAGACAAGACATAGGAGCCAATATTGAATGTACCTGTAAGAGCATATTGTATGTAGCAGCTTTAGCTGCCCCAGCCAAGAGATCCGAGCCCTTCATTTTTCAGTTTTATACCAGTAGGCCTATATATTATGGTACATAAAACAAATTCTGAAATAAATATAACAAACTGCTATAACTATCTGTCGGTCAGTAAAAATATTATTTTTAGATGAAATCATATTGGTTCAGATTAGACAAGTCATACAAGTGTAAAACAAAATATCTCTTAAAGTGTGATCTAAAGAGTGTTTACAAGGTTTTCAACAACAGGGGTAGCAACTATACAAAAAATTATTTCGTTTGACTGCCTCATTCAGATGATTTGTTGAATAGTGACAGGTAGCACTGTCAGTGTTGAGTATTTACAAGAATTGCAGACAGGGGGACAAAGGTGATGACAATATTCTCCCAAATAAAATATGAGCGTTTAAAAAGACAAACGTCCAATAGATTTACAACTTAATACAAGGGCAATCACAAAATTCTACTTGAAAATAGTTTGGAATTTTCATAAATATGTTTCCGATGTGTTAAGAAATGTTCCCTTTTGGCCAAAAAAAAAGAAGAATCGTGGTGAAAAATAGAAGGTAAAAAGTCCAAAAAAGCCTTAAACATGAGGTAAGGGTAGAGTGGTATTTTCATATTGCAGCTTATTAGGGATGAATAAATAGGAACGGTTTATAAGTCGGTTAGTAGAGAATAAGAGCGTCCGACCAGAGATCGTTCGGCGTTTCTAAAAGTAAAACTAAAAGAACTATCACACAAACTGTGGCGCAGTCTTGTCAAAAAGAACTGATATCCATATTGACCTTTTTCCAGCACAGTGGAGAAGTGGGCTGACAGGCACTGTATGACCAAGAATGCCAACAATGCTCTAACCTAATGCGATTCTGTAATTAAATTTTTACATTTTCATATTAACTCCATATGGGCGCTTCCATGTTTAGGTCATGTGACCTACTCCAAATTATTTCTGGTAAAGTTACACGAAATGAATATATATTTTATTATCATTCCCTAATCTCCATTCCGGTAAAATTTAAACATAATTAAAAATCATTCATATATTCGTTCTATTTAACACAAACTTCATGTTACGTGTCAGCTGCATTTCATTTTATTTGTTTCTTTTGTTTCGATGCATAGCCAGTTCCAAATGTTTAGCAAGCCTTTGTATTCAGTTATCCAGTACTTAAAACAAGACCTGATAACCGCGCCTAATGAGACTACTTCCCGCCAAACAAAAATCTAACACATTATTAGATTATTAGATTATCTTGGAACTTTTACTTTAGTGCGAAATTATGAGAAGAACACGACAGCCATCTGGAAAATCGAATCAGGTTAGTATATGATGTCAATATGGATGACTTTTATGTTGCAAAATCAGGCAGGATGCGCACTATTCAACTCAAATGTTTACTTTATAAAATGGCATCATGGGAAAGTGAAAGTAGATCTGTGATTTTAACCCTTTGAACTCCTAAAGTAAATTTGCAAATATAAATGAGCTGGACTTTGTGTTGCAAAATCAGGCTGGAAGGCGCTGGAAGGCTATTATTCAACTCAAATGTTTACATGACGAAATGGGATCATGGGAAACTGAAAGTGGATATGTGCTTTAACCCTTTGAACTCCCAAATTTTACTGAGTTTGAATTTACTGAGAATGAAATTTTCACCAAAATGCCTTTACATTATCTAGTTTTTAACTATTGTAGTGAGAACTGCTAACTCGTTACCGAATCTCTCATAATGTATCTTTAATAAAAAAACAATTTATTGAAGGATGAATTGCCCTCAGGATCTCAAAGCCAAGCAAGTCAGAATCCGTCACAGAGTCAAGCTACAAGCTTAACACAGGCAGAAAAAGCAGCAGCCAAATTAGATCAGAAAGAATTAGAATTAAAGGTATTAAATCATGACATTTATTGATGCACAAAGAAAACTTTTAATTGCTGTATATTTTAAGAAGTTAAAGGTATCATCCAAAGTCTTACACGTTGAAAATACGATTGTTTGTCAATTCAAGTCAACATTAATGTTGTTATCTTACCGGGAAAAGGTAGGCTTCTGATATCCAATATTTAAGACAAAATAAACATTTTACCATTGGTACACATAGTGCTTTTCAGCGTCATTTGTAACATAGTGCTTTTCAGCGTCATTTGTAACAAGTGACCAGAAAGAAAGAGGCTAGACATATTCCACAACTCATGTCAAACTGTGACGCCATATCTTGTCTGGAGAGCATGCGCAATAGACTGGAATAACCAGACGCTAGAAATTGCTATTCGGTTGAGACTCATGCCCTATTTCGCTCACTGCTGGACATAACTGATTTGAAATTAAGAGTCAAAATGGAAACAATTGAATGTAAATCAGTTTATATACAATCAGATTACATTATTATATGCGTTGCGACCCATTTGGGTCAATTTCTAGGCCTCAAATATAAGCGATTTAGCTCCTTTAAAGTAATATCCTTTATTCTGTGTGAGTATATTAGTATAATCAGAACGAACTACTGACTACACTTTCTTTATTTGTCTCTCTCTAGTTGCTATGCAAATCTCTAAACTTATATAGCCTACTACATATTTAAATACATGGAATATTTATGAGATGCTATTCTCAGAACTAAACTGGTACCGGTGCTGTGAATGGTATAGTTGTAGTTTGCAAGGGATTCTAAATTCCTCCAACGATAATCAGCTGCTTTACTGATAATATTTTATGTGTTAATTGTAGGTGAATGATCTAGTACAATATCTTCTGATTATGGATCAAAAGAAATATCCAATTAAAAAAGTTGGTGAGTAGAAAATTTGTCATTAAGAAACAGGACCCTGTTTATCAAAACTTAACTAAAGATAAAATCCAAATTTTAGTAGATACTTCAAATTTGATTGGCTAAGCACTAAAATCAATCTAATATTATCCAATCTAATTTAGATTTGATCTTAGTTAAAATTTCGTGAAACAGGCCCCAGATGAATAGCTGATCAAATATTAAGTACAGCAGTGCCATGTCAATGTTCATTTCATTCTTCAGAAGATATTCTCCTGTTTGTACTTTTCATCAAAGTAAATATCAAATCCGCCTGGTAGTTTGTCTCCGCATTAAGCAGGACAGCAGATGATGATTTTTCAGTGGCATGTTGAATAGTGAAATTTGAGATGAAAACAATAAAATGAAAATTGTTGCTGAAAATGTATTTTTTTTTTTACCTAGCCTGGAGACCGCATTTTCTTACCACAACATATTTAATCTATTGAAAAGATGCAACGTTTTTAGTACAGTAAACTTCGCATAAGTCGGATCTAAATGAACTGACAAATTTTATCCGAGTTACGCGAAGATCCGAGTTAGCCGAAGACCTAGTTCAGCTCTGGACGTAGGTCTCATTATCGCCCTGTACGTTCAGCAAACGTCCTATTGAATCCTTGTCGAAATAAAATCGGTTTCCAGTCAATTTTACTGGGCAACTTTTTACTGCTAAACGGTCACGTGTCAGTCTCTATGAACGCCTGAACAATGTAAAGAAACATTTTAGTGAGAAAATAAGACCTTGCTTATTTCGCTAGAGTCAGTATGTGCAACACAACATGCTGTTAAAAATGTGTCACCTTCTGCTAAATGGCTTTGGTGGATGCCATTGAGGTTTAGATGTTGGGTGGCGTACGGATTTACATGGTTCGGCCATATAAGACAAAACGAAATTTAGATAAGCTGGGACAGGGAAAAATTAGAATCATTGAAAAGCTGAGAAACTTCAGTCAATTATTGCTTTGCCTAGCCCAATAACAATCAAATTTTTTAAAAAATTCCAATTTCGTTTCGTCTTATATGGCCGATTTGCAGTGCCCTGTATTTGGATTTGGCGGAGAGGGGCATATGTGAAAATACTGCCGATCCAACTTAGGCGAAGGAAAAAATCCGGAATTAGATCAAATGGACCGAACATTTTGATTGAGTTGAGCAAAGATCCGACTTGCACCCAGAAATTTAATAAGAAAATCGTGCAGGATCAAAGGGTCCAAACGATTTTATCCAAGTTGAGCGAAGATCCGACTTATACGAGGTTTACTATATTTTTGTATAGAGATAATCTACATGTATATTGAAATATTTGTTTCAGATATTAACAAAGTGGTATTAAAAGATACAAGTAATAAGGCATTTCCTTTAGTAATGAAAAGAGCTTCAGAGAAACTAGCTGATGTAATAATTTATTTTTATATTATATTAACCCTTTAGTTTAACACATGACAATTATATGGAATACAAGTTACTTGAAAGATTTATTTTGAGTGACATTTCGACAATGTTTCTCTCGTCTTTATCAAGCAAAGTTACTAAATGCTCGTTAAACAATTTAAAAAGCCTATAGTACTTAGACGGCCTGTTATTTAGTCCTCCCTTGACCCCCCCCCCCCCACAAACCGCCAAAGTGTCATGAATAACTGTGGCACCCCAAAGAACTAGCACACTACCATATTTCATAAACCATTCAAGGTACCTTACTGACAGGGGTGGGAACTAGAGTCTGACTTAAGTCACATCAATGACCCGGCTTGGTACCCGACTTGAAATATTTATTGCGACTTGGACTCAGCAGTTGAAAGAGCTTTCGAGTCACGGTGAGAGGGCATGACTCTAACTTACCTTATTCGTCATGAATTGCTGACTCATTTGATGAACTGGCGACTTGAACAGAACTCGGTCTTTGTGAGACTTGGGACTCGATTTGACTCAGTATTAAAGTCGGCGACTTGGGGCTAGACTCGGGCTCGGTCTTTGTGAAGACTTGGGACTCTATTCGACTCAGTATTAAAGTTAGCGACTTGGCACTCGACTCGAACTCGTGGTGTGGCGACTTGGGACTCGATCAGGATCCGAGGTGCGGTGACTTGGGACTCGACTTGGACTTGAGGCTCCGCGACTTGTTCGTATTTCTAGCTAATTCGAAATTTCTTAGGATTTAATTATTTTTATGTTTCCATTTAAACAAATTTGACTTTTAAGACATGAGCACATGATGTTGATGACTGAGACATCATGTTTATTTTGAAAACATAGTGTATATGATTTTTGTTAAGTCTCTGTAATATGTTATTCTAGATATTTGGTATTGATGTAATAGAGCTACAAGACAAACAGAAAGGAAGTTATATTTTAATTAGTAAATATGAAATAGATGCAGATAAACCTAATGTAGTATGGTAAGAATTACTTCTGTATTCAAAATAATAACTTTCTGGGCATTTAAATTATTTCTTTTTCCATACTGGGCCATTTATTGTTAAACATTATAAGATTTTAAGGTGTAGCAGAGGCATAAAAATATATTTACAAATTATCATTCAGTAATTATAACAATTGATTAATTTATCTGTGTCATTTGCTTTTTTTTTGAGAATATTGAGTTTTCCGCAGCTGGATTATTTAACATATAATATACTATATATATACATGCTTTTTAAAATGGTGCCACATCACAATATTGTTCTGTTTTTATCACAGACTTAAAATATCTTTTTGAAATAGGAATATTTTATAATCGACACATAACGACTTTTGTTTTCCTTGAAACAGTCCCGTCGCGAGCCATTTCCCCCCAGACTTTATAGGGAATGTTACTGGTAGTTATATTGTATACATATATTAAATTGTGTGTTTTTACATGCAGGCCTGAGGAAGACAACACTAGAATGGGTCTATTGATGATTATTTTAAGTTTAGTATTTATGAACAACAACATAATGCAAGATTGTAAGTATAAATATATACATCTTAGTTTACTGTCTGTGGTCCGGAGCCATGGGGAGGAGGAGGGGAGGGGATGTCAGTAAGTACGGCCATGACACAATAATCAGGAGATCCCAGGTTTGATACAGTTGTCGTCAAAGCTGTTCCTATGGATTTTTCAGTCTGGCGCAGGGCAAATGGCCTGGCAATTGTAAAAAAAAGCATCTAGTTGTTCGAAATGTCACAAAAAAAACAAGGAACACCCTTGAGAGATGTAATTTGATGAAGAGTAAGTGAAACACCACTGTGCTGGCGTATTATCCCTGGCATATGTCTGACTTTATTAGCCTAGCTTGTGCAGAAATGTAGGATGTTACAGTTAAACCAAATTTTATCTCTTTTATTGAATGAATCCATCAATACCTGACTGATGCTTGATTGGGTGATGAATATATATTTATACTTACATTTTATGGTAATATATTTGATGACTGGTATTTATTTCATAAATTACAGAAAGGAGGCAATCAAACATTATATATAGTTTATTAATCAATACTTTTTTTATATAAATGAGTCTATTGGACATAGTATTGAGTTTATTAATCAATATTGTTTTTTGTTTTAACAGCTGAAATGTGGCATACATTGAAAAAACTAGGAATAGATCCAGAGTGAGTAATATTTATACATCTTTTAGCGGCATTTAAACACAATAACATAATATGGTACACAATTTATTATTTTATTTTTAAAGTGATGTTTCGTTGATAATATTGAGAGAGAGAGAGAGGAATGGGAATTAATGTCCAATTTTATTTCATTTATTTGCTTGTGCGTAGGGGTCTTTAGCAGTGGGAGGAAACCAAGAACCTGGAGAAAACCCACAAGGTTCGACAAGCGACCCTACTCCTTGTCACGTACATTCAGGGATTCAAATCACACCACTTGACTCAATAACAGACTGTATTGTACAACATGCACGCGTTAACCATTCGGCCACCCAAACCCCCTATTTGAAATTGAGATATCTTAATGAAGAGTCACATTATCAATATAAATTTGAAATAAGGATGTAGATGTCTGACATAACAGACCTGATCCACGCGTTAACCATTTGGCCACCCAACCCCCCCTCAACAAAACGTCACTGTAAATAGTGATTGTGTTCTATATTATGTTGTAATATTTCTACAGTTAAATAGTGTTAACATGTGTCCTTGCCTGGATATATATATCTTTACAACAAATTTGATGTTATGTGATATCGTGGCTTAAGATACATTATGTAAGATTTATATAAAGATCTGACCGTGTTTGTAGTTTTGACAAGATGCATGCATAGTGGTAACCAGGGTACTGATATATTCAAGATTTAGCCTCGCTTTTCCATTTTTAAATAAAATTTTTAAATGGCGAACCGTTCTAATCTAATTAAAATCTCGAGTATTAAATGCCATCGAGATTTGATTATAGTCTTGTTTTGTTAATAAATGTCTAATTAATAGTTTATATAACATTTCAGGCCTAAAGGAAGACCTGCAATAGGCAGATTTAGCTCTTGCATAATGCCCGTTTATTGAAATATAAGAATTTTATGAAAATTGAACATCTTGTTCAGTCACATTAAGAACAGTATAATGTAAAAATTAAATTTCAGTGATTTGTTATTATGAATGTGTTTCTTTTTTATACACCCAGTTTTAATGAGGATGTATATTGTGTCCATCGGTGCATCCAACTTGCTTGTCAGATGCAAGGATCGTCATTTGGTGTTCAGAGCTACTATGAAGAATAAAGCAGTAGTAAATGGCCAGGAGACACTAAACCAGCCAAGCAAAACTTGTACCAGGAATTTAATTTTGCTGTCTGTGATTAACCTGTATTATGCTTGTCTGTTTTAGGGTACCACATGAAACATTTGGAGACGTAAAAAAGTTAATAACTACAGAATTTGTACGTCAAGGTTATCTGGAATATATAAGACAACCTCAGACTGATCCTTTAGTCTACGATTTTAAATGGGGACAAAGAGCGAAAGCAGAAACCTCAAAAAGAAACATTCTGCATTTTGTGAGTCAGGTAAGAACAGTGGATTATACCTATTGCTGTCACACCTGTACATATTGCTAAAATTAGTGAGATTCTATTAAATTTCAGTGATTTCTGATAGTAACTTCCAGAATTATTGATCACTTTGCTCCCAGGGCGACCTGGTTAGTGGGCTAGTGTAGGAGCAGAACAGTAGGACGTTAAACCCCATTTCATTTCTAGTGGGCCAGTGCTATAGTTACTGAGACGCAGTTCCTCCTAGATACATTTGGACAAGAAATTATAAACATTGATCCTTTTTGGCAATAAAACTAATAATTAGGTTTCTAAAAGCCTCAACATGCTTGAAAAAGAACTCAAATATTTATGTTTTTGTAATATTCTTGTAGATGTATGATGTGAGCGACCCACAACAATGGACGTCTCAGTGGCAAGATAAGGAAAACGAGGAAGAAATGGAAGTATCCCAAGCAAATTCAAATTAATTGTGCTTTAAGACTTGTATATAAATTGTTGACCAGGACTTCTTTAAGAAGCAGAAACAGTGTATTTTATTGTAATCAGACTGAGTTGTTGATGGTATATTTACATATTAAAGATAAAGTCGGTGCTTTCAATTCAATCGGTGTAAAATCACATATGTTGATTTTAAGCAGTGAACACATTAGCCGAATCGTTCGGCCGAACCAATCGGCACCAAATTTTATTCGGCCGAATGGGTGGACACACTAGCCGAATGCTTCGCCCGATTCAACCTGTCGATTGCATCACCTTTCACGTCACATGATTAAACATGGCGGCATCTATGTCTTCAATCTATCACATGACTTCTCGATATGAGTGGTGATTGGCGAATCATTTGGCAGAATATAAATTCAGACGAATGACAGTGGACACACTAGGCGAATTTCGACGCCGATTGATTCGGCCGAACGATTCGGCAGAATCATTCGGCTAGTGTGTCCACCGCTTTAGAGATTCAACTTCGATATCATTGTAGTTTTCGTCTGTTTACAAGCTGCAGTGGCTCAGTGAGTATGGCATTATCTCATAAATCAGAAGTTCCCAGGTTTGATCCTAGTGGTGGCTGAAAGTTGCACAATTTTCAATTCATCATTTCTTTATAAATTAAATTAAACCATTGTAGTTTACAGTGGATTCCAATTCACTCAAACGACAAAAGAGTGACTTTAATAAATTTGTGTTCTTTAAATTTGCCAATGAAAAACTTCTTTGGCACAATGGATATTAACTAATCAGTAAAAAACAAATTATATTCTTAGATTTAGTAGTTCACACTTTTATAGAGAGAGAGAGAAATGGGGTTTAACGTCCACTCAACACAAACTAGGTCATTTTGGGACTAACACTTGGCTCAATTTTATTTCAATAATTCGCTTGCCCATAGGGGTCTTTAGCAGTGGGAAGAAACCGAAGGACCTGGAGAAAACCCATGAGGTTGGACAGGCGACCCCACTCCTTGTGACGTACAACCGGGGATTTGAAACCACGCCAGTTGACTCAATGACAGACCCTATGATACAGCACACACATGCTAACCATTCGGCCATCCCCCACTGCTAAAGACCCCTACATGCAAGCAAATTATTGAAATAAAATTGAACCATATGTTAGTGCCAAAATGACCTAGTTTGTGTCAAGTGGAGTTAAACCCCATTTCTTTCTCTCTTTCTCTCTCTGTCTATTTAATAGCTGAGAAACAGAGATGTATTATGGCTTGTAAGTACTGGTAGGTCACTGTCTGTATTTTCAATAATTGGATTTGTCGTGTCCACACTAAGGTTATATAAGTTGATATTACAAGAAATTACATTTTTCTATCTTAATATAAATTATAAAATTTGTAGAGTGCATTCTTTCCAGTAAACGGATGGAAAATTGTTGTCTTGAAGTGAAGATTTTCTTGCTACAAATTATATAAAATTTCTTTCAAATTGATTTTCAAGACAAGAGTAGGTATGACTATCATTTTAATATTCTTAAATAACAGAACATTTATATAATAAATAAAACACTCAAGTAATTAACAATAAATACAAATATGTACATAGACTAAAAATATCACAGTATGCTTTATAAGTAACATTCCTCAATAGTTTTCTTCATTTGAAGAGTCATGTGGCTTTAGCTAACCCAAAATGTGGAGTTGGATGGCCTGTCATTATGTCAACTGGCATGGTTTTGATTCCTCGGTTGTACGTGGCAAGGAGTAGGGTCACCTGCCCAACCTCATGGGTTTTTCTCCGGGTCCTCCGGTTTCCTCCCACTGCTAAAATTGAACCATGTTAGTCCCGAAATGGCCTAGTTTGTGTTGAGTAGACGGACATCAAACCTCATTTCTCTCTCTCTGTAACCCAAAACTGTATAGGGCAAGGTGGGAGAATTGGGCTTTAACATCCACTCAACTATCTAGATTGATAATTTTCTTGTGTGGAGGGGTTTTCAAAGTGGTGGGGGGGGGGGCAACAAACCCAAGAGTCGGAGACAGGAGGTTAGGCAAGTGACCCTATATGTATAGCTCCGATCGATCACAAGAAGCAAGAGTGGTCTTACATGTGCACTTTAGATCATAAGGTCTGTCATTGAGCCAAATTATGTGATTTCAATCCCGGGCCATATGGTTTCCTCCAACTGTTAAAGATCCCTATAGACAAGCAAATTATAGAAATAAAATTGAACCATATGTTAGTCCTGAAATGACCTAATTTAGAAGGAGAAAGCAAAAAAAAACTGTTGCCTTCAGGCTATTATCTACAATTTACTCCCACTTTAAACTAGCGGGGGGGGGGGGGGAGGTGGATGGTTAGCACGAGCTTGTTGTATCATAAGGCCTGTCATTGAGTCAACTGGTGTGGTTTCGAATCCCCAATTGTACATGACAAGGAGTAGGGTCGTCTGTCCAACCTCGTGGGTTTTCTTTGGGTCCTCCGGTTTCCTCCCACTGCTAAAGACCCTTACGCGCAAGCGAATTATTTTCACTTTAAGTCAAACATTTACATTGGGTGTGTCATCTATTTGTTGTCACACATCAGGTTGGTCAATATATAAAATTGTTGTTCTTAGTGTTTAACATCAGCTTCCACCAAAGGTGATATCGCAGACAAGTTGTCTTTTTTGTCCTTTTTTTTTCATAATCTTAGCGCACGCACAGGGATCTTTCCTGTGTGAGGAAACCGGAGTACCAGGAGTAAACCAACGAGGTTGAGAAAGGGGCCCCTATCTCCAAGCCACAAAGCTCACACCAGGGATTGAAACCATAACCGCAAGCCAGAGGTGACTGGCCAGCTAGAGGTCAAAGCATGACACTCTAGACCACTAGGCCATCCCAACTCCCCTCAATATATAATAAATCACAGTCCATGATATACATGGTGAAAATTTTATCTCCACTTTATATTAAACATTTATATTAGATATGACACTAATCTTGTCACTCAGTAACTCATCAGGACTGTCAACACAATTAAATCTCATTCCATCATCTGCAGAACAAATAGAACTAAAGGCTTGTGTAAAAAGAACTGTGTCGTATATACATATATAGGCCTACTTTAGTTACTTTGTCGCGATTTCAACACTGCCGTTGATGGTGCCAACATCTATCTTCATTTCCCCAGCTTCATTGTTTTGTCTACTATCGTCCAACATTGCTGAAAACAAATCCTTGGGAATTAACTGTGCGACTTTTGACACGGCTAACGCGGTCTCTGTTGCATATTTCAATTTCCTCTTAGCATTAAACTCCTTGATGTTGGAAACCGTGGTTTCCATGTGGACACCCTTGGTGGCAGTGCCTCTTACCCACGGATGGTTTAAGGCCTGGGCAGCAGTAATCCTTTTTTTTGAATCTACTGTCAACATTTTTCGGATCAAATCTTTAGCATTGTCGCTAACATCTTCCCAGAGTTCCGAATCAAAATTGTAATCTCCTTTCATGATGCGTTTATACATTACCCTTTCATTTTCGTCAAAGAAAGGTTCATAACCACTGAGCAGAATGTAGGTAATCACACCGATACTCCATACGTCAATGGACTTGGTGTATTTTTGTCCCTTTAAAATTTCCGGGGCACAATATCCAGGCGTACCACACACGGTATGCATCATCACATCGGGACCAATAATTTGGGATAATCCAAAATCGGCTATTTTTAGCGATGAATTTTCTGTTAGGTCTTCGTATAATATATTTTCAGGTTTGAGGTCTCTATGAACAACTCCATTATCGTGCAGATACGCAACAGCCGTTAGAACATCTTTAATAGCTTTCGCGGCATCTTTTTCCGAATAGTGTCCCTGGGTTACAATTCTGTCGAATAGCTCACCACCGGTAACCAATTCCAAAACAAGAATAATTTCATCGTGCGTTTCATACACCTCTTTTAAACGGACTACATTTGGGTGGCTCAGTTTCAAAAGAATTCCTATTTCGGTTTTAACTATTTTTTTCTTGACCTTTTTCGGAATTATTTTCGCTGCCAAACATTGGCGAGTTCCAATATGTTCACATTTGTTAACTCGGCAAGTCGCACCTCGACCCAAATCGTTTCCAAGTTTATAGATATCCTCAAATAATCTGTCCTTGATGCTTTCCGAGATCCAATATTGTTCCACAGACATTTTAATCTTTCGTAAAATAACTCAATTGTATTGTCTGTCGTCGCACCTGTCAAACTGTGTCCCCTGTTGTTCTAATTAATTAATAGCAGGTCGTTGCTATGATAAATAAACAAAGTTGCCATTGGCAGGAGTTATCCCCCTTAACACATATGAATACTTATACAGGTAATATAAACGTCATTAATCGGCCATTCAGGCACGGTAACAGATAGGGTCTGGCCAAATTTTAGTTTTCATTAAATTACTCGCATTTTATAGAATCATTCCACATTTTATTTTATTTTTCTAACACGATACCTTACCTGGAAAAGATTCTGGTATCCAACCAATAAATTCTTTTTTAAAAAAAGTCGGTTTCTTTTAAGGGAATTGTGTTGGACACTAAAATCTGTAATAATGCCGTTTTCACAAGGTTTTATGCTGTATCTAAAATAAGGGGCTCGTCAGAGTTGCTTCCATGTACTGTCCAGATTTGCTCTCATAGTGTGTAAGGTATATAAATGAAGAAAATCAAAATACATGTGTCTTTGAATATGTTTTTATATTTGCATAATTTATCAATATAATACAAATCTTCTACTATAATATTGAATAGACCAATATGCAAATTATTATTTGATTAATTATTTTGAATTTAATTAGAATGTTTGTAGTCCTAATTACATGACAACTTTGGCAAATGTCAAAAACAAATAGGATATTCCATAACAAATACATATATATATATAATATACAGATCACTTACACATTATTATTCAATTTCAAAGTAGCTAAGTCTCTAACTCAAAATCATTCAAAGACTTTGACATTGAAAACACAAATTATTTGTCAATTTAAATCAACATTGATGCTGTGATCTTACCAGGAAAAGATGGGCTTCTGATATCTAATATTTAAGACAAAATAAACATTTTACCATTGAGACACGAATCGTGTATAATATGCATTTCAGCGCCATTTGTAACAAATGACTTGAAGAACAAGGCTAGACATATTCAAAAAGTCATGTCAAATAGTGACACCATATTCTTATCTGGAGAGCATGCGCAATAAATACTATCATTGTAGAATGGAAAAACCAGACGCTAGAGATTGCCATTCGATTGAGACTTCTGGGCCCTGTTTCTCGAAATCTTAACTAAAGATAAAATCCAAATACTTCATTGATTGGCTAAGCACTAAAATCAATCTAATATTATCCAATCAAATTACTGGTGCATTTCGTCGAACACAACCGATTAGAAAGTACAGTGAAACGATTGAATGTAAATCAATTTCTAGGTCCCAAATATGAGCGATTGAGCTCCTTTAAAGTATCTACTACAGTGTATCTATTTAATAAGCTGGAATGACTTGTTGTCATTAGTCAGTCTTTCATCATAGGAAATAAAGAATATTATACTAAATGTTGAATATTCACAAGTTTAATACGCCTTGCTAATTGCACTATTCTCTGTTAATTTCTAGGTTTATCTCTATATAATTTCACTTACTTTCAACAAACATTTATTAGGTTGCCAATTTATATTAGAATAATCTTTGTATTTGGGGACTGTGGAGGTTTGTAAAATACAATAGACTCTATGTTAGTAGATGGCCATAACATAGTATTTAACTCCATGCCAAGATGGAAATTGTATTTAATTTTTTTTTTAAATTAATATCAACATTGCTACTTTAGATGTGTACCTAGTTTTTTAAATCATAAATAATTAGTTAATATCATAGTCATAATTAGCAACCAGAAGCTTATTGATATTTCACTAGTATACAAGCATACATGTATACAGAGTGGGAACAAATTTAAAACAAGAAAACAAACCAAAGACCTTCATTAGATTCTATATTTCAATTGCTGATAAATCTTCGTTAATCTTCATTTATCTGTGGATGTACAGGTGTTCACAACTGGAATAGAATTCCTTACACTACTTCCAAGATTAAAAGGAATTCAAGGTCCAACATATTGCCCTGTTAGAAGTGAAGGGTATCTTGGGGCATGGATGGAGACACTTCTTATATATACATCTATGTTTTTACTTTTATTACAAAAACTGTTTATTTTTATCTAGTCTGTAATAAGACAGGTTCCGAGAAAATGTTTCACCAACAACACATCAAATCTCATCATTTGTCTTTCTTCATCATTTGTATCACTTAATATATCACAGAGTTCTAGACAGTAGGGTGGGACTATGATAAAGATTTCTAAGTCATTAACACAGAATAACTAGTTATGATGATTAAATTAGCAGTCTATGTATTATCATGACCCTCCATTAAAAATAGACAGTAATACCGGAATTGTTAAAGCTAAAGCACCATATATAACTGTAGCAGTTGCTAAAGAATTTAATTTGATTTTCCATTCCAGGTTATCCTCCGTCCTCTTCAACATACTTTCTATTTCTGGTCCTACGTACACAATATTTTGATCACTTATCGTTGATTTCTCTATACCTAACAATTTTTTAATGTCTTTCATTTCTGCATCTAAAATTGTTTCCTGTTTTTTCACACTATTTAATATTTGTTCTGTATGTTCAGTAAGCTCATTTAGATTATTTATAGCGGGGATATTGACATTTTCTAATTTAAGAGTTTTAGCGTCGCTTCCCAGAGCCGTTTTTAAATCTCCAATAAATGAATCCATCTTCTTATACTGTGAACCCACCACCTCAACCAACTGAACGGCCGTATTCTTAAATTCATCTCCTTTTTCAACTGACTCAGACACGATACCTCGTAACTCTTTCATACGTAGATAATTGTTAGTAGTAGTTCCTGCGATGCCTATAACAGCTCCAATAACTGAACCAATAATAGACCAATACTTAGTGCGCTCCGCTCTAGCACGTTCTTTCTCGTGACTTTCTCGAACAGCGGCACTTAATAACGCAAAAGATTCTCTCTCTGATTTTTCTGTGCCCTTCAAGTTCTCGATCATTTCATATTCTTCACGTATGATAGAGTGTTCCGTTTTCACCAGATCTAAATATCTGTCATCACCTCGGTTGGTTTTATCTAATTCAGTACTTATTGATTTTAAACGTGACTGAATAACAGACATATCTTGTTGTATTAATCGTCTTTTTTCTTGAATAGCTAGAAATTTCTTCTCTGCCTGAAAAATGTGAATTAAAGAAACGTTAGAAACCTTTAAGTGTACATCACACAAAGTCACACTGTCATCAAATAACAACACCCTCAAAATGGGGCATCAACAAAAGATACAAACAAATTTTTCTGTGGTCGTGGAGGACTGGAGATGTAGTGGAGCCCCACCCCACTCCAAAGAATTCAAAAACTAAAGTATATTTCATTATAATAAAAGCTAGCCATTTTCATGGGCCAAATTTCCTTGTTTCTGATCGATGCTAAAATGCAATTATTTCTGCTGACTGCTCCTTATCCAGGGCATATTCCAAACAAGTGGGACTTTTTTTTTTTAACATTTTCTGTGGGAGTCAGTCTTCATTACCCGAGTTGGCATGTGCATAGTTACTTTAGTAACAAAGTCTTAGAGCCCTGCTCTCAACTCTAAGACTTTGTTACTAAAGTAACTAGTATGTGCACAGTGATAGGGTTCGGAATTTGACATCACATAATAATTATGCTCTTCTTCATTCTTGAGAGATTTCCCACAGTTTGGAAAACCTTGTTGCCCGGTACTGCGGTAGCCTACTTTAGTAACGGATCCTTCTTAGCTTCGCTCTCTATCCCAATAAGAATCTGTTACTAAAATAACTATGGAAAACCTAGCCATAGGCATATGAATGGTTTTGAGAAAATGAAATTTAGACCTGCCTGTATGACATTATTCTGGGCCTCCTTTACTTCAGTTAAACCAACAAAGTCTTCATATGCTTGAAGCACAGGGCCCAGGCGATCTGGAATAGAGGTAGTTGGACTGGATGCTGTTGAGCTACTTAACAGTCTTGAGGCATAACATTGTCTGTAGATATGTGGTATTCTAAGACGCATCATTGCCAGAGAAGCCATTTTATATTTATGATTTATACCACTAAACTAAATTGATACAACTTCATCTTTTTAACCCCAAGACTGACGTATGGGCTTGGGACATTTCCTGTACAAAATAAAACGGATTGACTACAGAAAATAATTTATCGGATCAACATTGAATTGAACCGAGTCTTTCATATCAGGAAATCATAAAATATAATGATGTCTTGTGTATTTCAATCTCAACAACTAAATACTATTGAAGTAATATAAAAGTGCAGATCGAAGTGTTTATTTAATTTGGCTGACGCAATTTGTGTATAGTCGTAGTCAATCCGTATTCTATTTCCAATATGGCCGCGCCCTGTGGTCATGTGTGTGAAAGTTATTTAGAGTCTGTCAACCTGTCTTATGGTCGCGTTGCGTGGTCGATCACCATAAAAATCTGAAAACTTATAGCCTTACAACTCAATTATTCGACTCTAAACATTATGATAGAATTTTTATTTAGATAAATATCGAAAGCCGAGCCCATCCTAATGTAGTGAACTTCTAGCCGTTTTACTAAAGTTTTAGTATAATATTTAATAATGGACTCAACAAACGTTGGCAACCATAAATAAGCCGGAGATAAATGTTAAGGAAACTGACTCCGCAATTTTAATCCTGTTATTTTAATATTTAAATTAAAATTATTGGCTTTTATACGCGCCTTACCTTACATGTTTGTTGGCGCAGGCCCACATGCAAATTATTTAGTGAAAACTCAACAATCAACACTTTTAATTTATGTGGCGTTATTCAACGGTTATGCTCATTACACTTTATTTGTGGATTTTTAGCATTTTCCAAAATTATATCTGGGTTATCACCATTATTATTGATAAAATTTTGATGTCAACAGCCAGAGTTAAGTGAAGCCAGAATCATAACGGGGCCCAGGACGAACAGCGCAGTGGAGGTTTGCAGCTGACCCCAGGATCCATTTACTTGATTTGATATTTGTTGTTTTTTCTTGCTATGTCTGTGTAGTTTGTGTCATCCGTTTTGTAGCTAGTCCTCGTGCACTTACTATTATAATACAAAAAATACAATGGGAAACCTGAAGCATTTTTATTTATTATACATTTCTGATATGCCCACATTGAAATGTAGTCATTCATTGTCTTTGGCCCATCTTTAGGCTAAATTATCATACACAGTGTTTATTTAAGGTTCAAGTTTTCGGATAATTACTGCCAGAGTTATAGCTCTTGATCACATTTTATAACATCTTGTGGATGCTCTAGAGGCTGAAGTTATTATCTGATTGCATTAAAATTTATACACAGTGGGCCTAATGTAGTCCATCATAATGGTTTTCACACCCTCGCAATCCCAAAAAAACAAACCCCAAACTAATAAGAGTTATATTTTTGTTCTTTTTATTCAATATACAAGTTTGTACATAAAGACAATTTTAAATGCTGTCCATGTACTAAAATAGATATTCTGTATCATACATACAGACAGTTAAACTTAACACACTTCAGAACAAAATAATTTCAATATGTACAGACTAATTTACAAACATGCTTTATATAATATACAGATAATTAACAATGACAGAAATTAAAGCATAGACAAAATATGTGGAGATGAATGTAATTGATTAGTTTTCAGTTAAAAAGAAGCATTGATTAGATTTTAGTTATTAAAACCAGATTAGCGTATTCCCTTGGAAGAACCATTTGATACCATTATTAGACATCAAATCTCGTAACTATAGCTAAAATCATTACATTTACATTTTATATCTCAGTTACATGCGATAAGATTTTAGGACACCAGATACTTTTGTGCACTAACCACATAACTAAATTTTTGTATTTAATCCTTTCACGCAGACATAATCATTCATTTATAGATCCACTTATACCATATATCGAGATACAATCACATAGATAATAATTAAACACCCCGTTGAGATAATCGTACATGTTGATCCACCTGTGGATCTTCTCCTATAGATATAGAGATATAATCATGCATGTGTGTGGCTTCACTTTTACCCTAAATGCTGAGGTAAAATTATACACATGGATTTGTACAGGTAGAAATATACAAACCAACATGTAGAGACATAATCCTACATTTCTCATATATTTATAGATCTAACCATTGAATGAATGAATTGTTTTATGGCATGTCAGCTTCAACCGGGCTATATTGCGCCAAATCTAACCATAGAGATGTAATCATCCACTAATTAATGTAGATAGATAACTCATACATTTATGAATCTACTCGTAGAGATGTAATCATACACAGATTAATGTAAAGACATAATCATAGCGACACTCACACATTGATAGACCCACTTGTAGAGATATAATCATACACTCATTAATTATTGTAGAGAGATAACTCATATATTTATAGATGCTCTTGTAGAGAAATAATCATACACTAATTAATGTATACATGTATAGATCCATTTATTAATTCTGAGGTATAATCATACATATACAGATTTCCCCATTCCCCACTTAGAGATCTAATCATAATATATTTATCACTCTACTCACACAACAAGATATTGACAGAACTACTACTGCAGGCATTTAACAATATTTAACTGATCTAAAGCATTTGATAGTCTAGATTAATGCAAGACCCAAATTATGGTCATATTATCTGAAGCTATTACTATTATTATGTTACATATGTATGGTATTCCCATACCTATGCCATAATAATAATAATAATGAACCTCCAATACTAACACAGAGATTTTGGTCTACATCAATACACAATGACAAAACCGGTATAATTGATAGAAAAGGAAAAACAACATTTATATCTAACTACAAAACAAAATATAAAATACATCAATATATCCACGAATGATATTCACAATATTAAATAGAAAAACTGAGATATCTTCACAAATTCTTTAATTTGTAGAACTTATAATGGCAACAGGCCAGGGTTAAATTCACAGATAGAATCATAAGTTTAATCCCCAAATTAATCAATTCTTACTCATGTGATTGCCATTTAAAATTTATATTAGTTTCTATTAATTCTTCATACAGGTACATCTGGGTTCAGAAATTCTAATGCAAGTTCTATTTATTAAATTTCCATTTTTTTTTTTTACAAAAATCAACTTGCATAATTTTATATTCTTAAATGAAACATATTTCAAGAGAAGCCAGTTCCATTTATTAAATTTCATTTTGTAGGAAACAAAAAAGTTTAACATGGAATTAATGTAAATATCTTTCTTTTCTACATAAATTTCTCAAACAAAATTATAGTTTTCTAATTCACAGTTTTAACAAATAAGAAGACTTCAATTTATATTGGATAAATACAGGATATATTCTACATTATGTCCCACTTCACAGAACAATTCTAACATCAACCTGTTTAAAACATCGTAAATGTGTTGAAAAGGTTATTTTTGGAAGATACTTTAAAAAGGCACAAACTTCAGTGTATTCTTATACAGTAAAATAACAAAATATTTTAATTTCAACTTTTAAAGTTATTTAATTTTAATAAATCATGTTTGTATGAATTGTTGTTGGATGGGAGATGAACCATATTCAAACTTCTTCTGTAGCCAACGCATTTACATTCACCTAAAGAAGACAAATTCATAGATTCACTGTTCTTCATTACCTTTAACACAACTGAAGTTTGAATTTGATTTTGAAAAGTCCTAAAATGATTTTACCCTGTTGTACATCAAGTTTATCAAAAACTGAGAGTGACTACTGACATGATAGGATCTTCAATTAGAGACTTTCAGGGCCTGAACGTTTCGGGAATTAATTTTTGCATAGTTTGAACAATCTTTTAATGAGTCCTTGGACCACATGTGTCGAAATTAATGACAAAATTAATATTATATTATGACACAACACCTACATGTAGTTTTATACATTAGTTAGTTTATACAGTGAGCGAAAACATAATAAGTGGATACAAAAGCATTAGGAAATAAGAATACTAACTTAACATAATTATACACACAGATGACCCTCTTAAATGTCACTAATAACAACTTTCTACAAATCTAATTCATTCCATGTAACTCTGTTAATTCTACAAATGACTTGTTTTTAATGTTGCCCTTATTTCTATCTATTTTAGACATACAATGTATGAGTATATTTATAATATGGACATTATTTGATAACTATATACACTATGTTTCAATGTTATAAATACAGTAATTTAATTATTTAAACTAATTATTGGCCTACAACTTTCCCTGTATCTTCCTTTCCTTTATACTTCGTTTTACCATGTGAAAAAGGTATATATCTATATTTAATCATATGCTGAAACAAAAAATCAAAATATTAAAGTCCCACTTAATAAATTACTTAAAAAAACAAGAAATTTCACAAATTTAAAAGTATGTATTGATATTTAATAAATTACTAAAAAACAAGAAATTTCACAAATTTAAAAGTATGTATTGATATTAATTTGAAACACTGTAGCATATTCTTGTTTTGATATTGCAACTATCTGATGGATATCTTCTTGGTCTTTTAAGAATGAAAATGACAGAAAGCTAAAAGCTACTGGTCAGACATCTTCAATAGAAGGCTTGATCTCACTTTAACTACGTACATGTTATCAAGGCCTTCACATAATACCCTGCATATTTTGGGTACAAGCCCAGCTTGTTAGCCTCTCAGATTCCTTGGTTGTCGCAAATACCAAGTCTCACGCTTTCAAGCTAAAATGTCTGCCTGTGATAATCGAGTTGCAAAGTTCAAGGTTCGTTCAATGTCAAGGTTACCGTGGAGATCACGATGTCACAACCTTTGATTGGACACTACTGTTCATGTGTCTGTAGATAACGTAGCTATAAGTTCGAGAATTGTGAAGTAATCTAGCAACGTCCAGATGTTGTAAAACTCGCAGTCGTTGCTTCAGGGACATGCTGGTCAAATATCAATATTTTCAAGCCTGCAGATTACTGTGGATTACTTTATTGCCTTGAACACAGAGACTTATCATTAACGCAGCATAAAAAAGGAGTAATACAGAAATGTCTGAATAGGGAAAGGTTGAATTAATTTCTAGTTTTAAAATGAAACGAAATGGAGTTTAATATCTACCGTTCTGCTCCGACAGGGCAGTTTTAAATGAAATTTTGTTGACACCAACTGGGCTAACGAAGACAGGTATATGCGATGTCATGAGCAATGAGTGAAATTTTGCCATGACAGTGACACTTCCAACTACTTTTTATCGAATTCAAACCATCAAGGCTTCTTTCATGTGCATGTGAACCAATAATGGGTGGACCGTTTTTTTTGTCCATCTCATCTAATTGACTAGATGATTTTCCTCATAAAGCCTTCCATCTCTCCCTGCTGATAAGGGAAACCATGCTTGAAAATCATGAGGAATTTTCTCAGTCAAGCAGTTATTTGGGGAGAAAATGTATAAAAGAACTTACCTTAATTTGTCTTTTCATAGTTATTGTAAATAATATTATAAAATACATGACAAGTATAGGCCAGAATACTGGTATATTTAAAGCTTCAAAACAAGTACATATCATTCCAACTACTATAGATTTCGAAGCTGAATACCTGAAAATAAAAAAATAAAAAATGTCATACAAGGAGATCTCAAAGTGTGATTTATAGGCTATGTTTTACGAAAGGGGGGGTCTCCTATATTTATACACCCACAATGTAGTCGTATATTGTCGTCGCCCCCGTCCGTCCGGCGTCCACAAGCTTAAGTTAATATCCAATTGACTTTATACACAGTGTTTAAGGTAATGGGATGAAGAAGCCTATTGATTTTCAGTGCTTTCTGATAATTACTGCCAGAATTATGGCCCTTGATCACTTTGAAATATCTTGTGGACGCTCTAGAGGCTAAAGTTAATATCCGATTGACTTTAGATTTATACACAGTGTTTAAGGTCATCAGACGAAGAAGCCTATTGATTTTCAACATTATCCGATAATTACTGCCAGAGTTATGGCCATTGATCACTTTCAAATATCTTGTGAACGCTCTAGAGGCTAAAGTTAATTTCTGTTATACACAGTGTTTAAGGTCTATGAGATGAAGACTCCTATTGATTTTCAATGATTTCCGGTAATTATGGCCCTTGATCACTTTGAAATAGCTCTAGAGGCTTTAGACTGATAAAGACGATAATTACTGCTAGAGTTATGGTCCTTTATCACTTTGAAATATCTTGTGGACGCGCTAGAGGCTAAAGTTAATATCGGATTGACTTTAAATTTATACACAGCGTTTAAGGTCATTAGACGAAGAAGTCCAGTGATTTTCAATGATTTCCGATAATTACTACCACAGTTATGGCCCTTGATCACTTTGAAAAATCTTATGGATGCTCTAGAGATCAAAGTTATCATCCGATTGACTTTAGATTGATAAGTTTAAGGTCTTGAGACGAACAAGTAGATTGATTTTCAATGAATTTTGATAACTTGAACAGCTAAATCCATGATATATGTTTCGTATACTAAACGTTAGAAAGGGACAGAACTAAAAGCCAAACAATTTCTAATGATTTTCGAATAATTACTTAATGAGTTGTTACTTTTAATCAGATTTTAGTGTATTATAAATGTTTCATTATCGACAATAGAAAAAATATGTGACAACTCTTGTTGACTGCTCGGATGACTTAGCTGCCGTGGGCGCATGTTTCGTTGCCTGGCAACCTATCTTTAGGCCAGTTGGAGAGATCAGGCTGGTTGGAGAGGTCATTTCTAGACGAAAAATTAATCTGTTTGAAATTCTGGGTTAGGTTCATGTTATCAGACTTTTGTGGGGTTACCTACCTATGACCTTTGTCCTAATCTCTTATGGTGCCTGAGTTTAAAGAATACCGGTATAACAATTTTACTTTTAAGTAGGTCGGTGCTCAGATTTATGACGAGTCTTTTACCGGTACATGTATTTTAACAATGATCTCATTAAAGTTGTCTACTCCGATCATGAATATATTGTAATTACACCCACCCTAAAGTGAGTGAGATTTAGAGACACGGTATAACCTACCAAAATTTGAATTCTGGTAACCTTCTCATAAATGGTCTAAATTCTTCGTTAGCTTTAGTTGGTAAAGATGGACCATCATCTACAAAAATAAGCAATAAGAAAACAATATAATGGTAACAAAAATTTATTTTTCAGCACCGGTCTAATGAAGACAGCATAAAGTTAAATATAGCCTACTTTTATTTCTGTTTCGAACTGTCAGGGGATCTTTAACATACTGCCAATAGTACACACAGGACCTCAGTTTATCCAAACAACTGTCAGGGGATCTTTAACATACTGCCAATAGTACACACAGGACCTCAGTTTATCCAAACAATGAATGAATGAAATAGGGGTTAATGTCCTACTTTTCTGCTCCAACTGGGCTAATGAACAACTAGATGCTTTAAATAGTCACCCAGCACCACCAGTGAGGGGAAACCAGACAGGAAAATCCAAAGGAACTTTCTCAGCCAACACCTAGATTGAGACAGCAATATATACATCCCCTTAAACATACATTATGCAAGAGCTAAATCTGCCTATTGCAGGTCTTTCTTGATGTCATTGCTAGCCTGCGATATTTACTGGATTAGGACCCTATCTGCTGCTCAGCGTTCATTCATGATTAAATCAAGAAATGGATAATTGAGACTATGTTTTTTAGTATTGATGATCGAGGCTGGCCCCAAAATTCAAACACTAAATTCTTGATTCAGAGTGGATCAATTTGATTGAAATTTTCAGCAAAATCCCTTTACATTATCTAGTTTTTAACTATTATCGTGAGAACTGTCAGATCCAATCTCCCATAATGTATCTTTAACTAAAATGATCCATAAAGTTTGGGAGCTGGGTTGGGTGGAATCTCAAACTATTTAAACTAAGTTTGGGTGATTGATACCAAGAAATTTTACTTCTTAAGTTGCACTGTAGTAATCAACAATCAATGTTCAATCTACTTCCAGTTTAATATCAATGAATTTAAAATCAACAAACCTGGATCATCTAAAAGTGCTGGATCTATTTTAGGTGTAAGGAATGCTATAAAAAGGTTTAATAGATATATACCAAGTGCATAAGTTATAATATACCACCCCTGAAAAAAAAAAACAGAAAATTAATAATGGCCCATCATTTATTAGTAACATAAGAGGTTTCATTATATGCTTATCCAGACGAAAAAAAAACAAGGTCCTGTGTACACATTGTCGTGCACGTAAAAGTTCCCCTGACAGTTGGAATTCAATATAAAATATAAGAGTAGGCCGTAGTGTCGCTGTATGGGCAAAATTTCCCTCATAGCACACTGTATGACGTATGCCCGTCTTCATTAGCTCAGTTCGGAGCAGAACAGTAGGACGTTAAACCCCATTTCATTTCTGTTTTCTTCCCTCAAGTTCTCAGTATATCAATGTTATATTTGATCAATTGCCCGTGGTTTGACGCAGGTAAAACATAAATAATTACCTGTAGTATGTATACACGTAGTAAATATGCTAATAGAAGAAAAACTGTGAAAATCCATCTTCCTGTTGGATATGGTGTAGATCTATCTAAATAATGTTGATGTATCTGAAATAAACACAATGTACGATATAATTAATATAATCTATTTAATTCTGGGCTAACCATCTGAATCATGTAACATGTAAGAGTTATCAATTTATCGATATAAACTATAAGAGTATCAATCGATATAAACTATATATTTTTTAAAATGAATATTATTAGCTAACAACAATTTAGTGATATGCAAAGAAAGCTACTTTCTTGAAGTTATAATCAAGATTCAGTGGTTTAAAAAAAAAAAAAGAGCCATATTCGGATGGTGTGATTGTCAGGCCATGGTTAATTAATTGTGTTTCTCATGACCTGTGTTTGTGAAATATACATGCTACATAAGCTAATTATTAATTATCAATTATTGAGATGGAATTGAAATTTTTTTAGTTTAATTACTTGGTAATTGAAAACCCAACGGTAACTGGTGTCCCCTACTTATCCACGTTTAATAAAATTTTTATAGATTAAAATATCTGTTGCAAAATAGCCAGCCATCAGAAGACTCGATCAAAATAACAGGTCTAAATTATAAGTGATATGCTTCTAAGTTAACCATTCATTAATTCATTCATTCTTGGCATTTCATTTCTTTATCATGAAATGACCTGTTCCAATCAGGTTGATGATTTGTTCTGACATAAATATTTAAAAGCATACCTTTGGATTTTTAAATACATAATAAGTTGGATTATTTAACATGTCAGTCCAAAGAATTTATTACACGTGTTCGTTTCTCTAACCATGAAGGAAGATAGTACCAATAACCTGTATGTTAATTGTCTTCAACTTTGACCCCATCGGCACATGGAATCATGATCATATAATACATTACTTGTATAATTTTGTCTATCTTTTTTAACTTCCTGCATATATTTTTTCCCATACTAGCCTACTAGACTTTACTTATCACCTACAGTGTCCTGTTTATCGATAAATAGTAGATTTTAATGCGTAAATTTATTGTTCATATTTGAAGGCAAACAAGTATGGTTTTACAAATTTTACAGGACGAATTTGTGACCTCACTAAATCAGACCAAATAATTATGGAAGTGCATAATTATTACAGGTGAAAACGGACATGCAGGCAGGTCATGAGAAACAAACAATTAATTAACCGCGGACTTAGTATTGACACAATGCATTGTAATACCCAGCGAGAGAATGTACCAGTACCTCAAATTATTGACTTTAAAACCAATTTTACAAAGGTTTCAAACTGAAACTTACCTCACAATATCGTTTATAAGCCCTACTCAGTATATTAGGTTGCGAGGAGCTAGTTGTTATATCATCATCCATCTTTGATTAATCTGAAAAAATAAAAACAGTTAATTTGTAACCTGTCATAAGAGAGAGAGAGAAAGGTGGGGTTTAACGTCCACTCGATAGGTCATTTCGGGACTAACATATAGTTCAATTTTATTTCAATAATTATTTGCTTGCGCGTAGGAGTCTTTAGCATTAGAAATGATGAGAGGAAACCGTAATACCCTGAGAAAACAGGGATGGACATAGCTACAAATACTGTAGCATCAAACTGTGTTTAACGCTACAATTGATACAGTATAAGAGATTACATGTCATTTCGGTCCCGCGTCATTTCGGACTTACGTCATTTCGGACTCCAAAAAATATGTCCCCGACATTTCGGACTCGGGTAGGTGACATTTCGGACTCGGGTAGGTGACGTTTCGGACTCGGGTAGGTGACGTTTCGGACTCGGGTAGGTAAGATAGAATTATACAACACACTGACGCCAATTTACTTTATAAACTATTTTATTTATCAACATAGCATAAAATGATAACATCGATTTATAACAACGGGCATATTATTTTATTTTTAAACATACCATATAGCGATAACAACGGTCATATAAAACATTCATTTATTGTATAAATACATACACATTCATACATTAACGCAACATTTATAACAACACGTGTATTTATTTGATGAAAAAATAGCTTTAGTCGGCTATTCATTTTTTTTTTTTTTTTTTTTCATTTTTTTAATTATGTAATTGTTTTTCACTGAGCGGGTGGACCATACAAATGACTTATTTTTTTTAATAGTCTACTAGTGCTCATCTGTTTTTCATTGTATGAATCCCATATATTAAAAAGTTGGCCTTCTACATGTCGATACCGACGTCTTTGGTGTCGTCTCAATGAACCTTCCGACATCATTGTGAGGTCCAGTGGTATCTTTGTAGCTTCTGAAAAAAGTGCGCAAATCAATAGATAAAATGGCACAGGACCTCTGGCGTTGACACGGGAATTTAGTCTGTTGTGCCAGCCCTCCACGTCGTTATTGGTTCTCACTGGCAACATAAACACGCACCAATCTTCTATTGGAAACAGACGAGATGAAATCCATTGATCTTCTATGTATGTACATATCGGCTCTAACTGTTCTGGGCACCTGTCTTTCAAATGGGCAAACATGCCCGCCACGTGTTCTTCGGGCAGGAAAGGGAGAGCCATCAATCGCCTCAAATAATTAAACACGTCCCCCTTTTCGTTGTACGCTGTCTGAAATAATAAAATATTAGAAATATATTAATACTGAAAATCTATTTGTGCACTTGTACTTTAAAAGAAGATATTATAATAAGAATTTTTTTATTTTACTATAAGAAGATTTATTATAAGAAGAACGCACAACATACCTGGAATCCCTTTTCTTGAATTTTCCGGAAAACGGCCTGGGTCCAATGAAACACGCATCCTTGAATTCTTATATCTACAAAACGGCGTCTAAGGGCCTGCCATAACCCCGCCTCAAAATCCACCACAAATCCCTCCAAGGCAATCTGGCTTGGTAGCATCTTGTCCACTGCCCGGAGAACCTGTAAAATAAATAAACCAAACGTTCATTTATCTGATTATATTTATTCATTTATCCGATTGTAATCATTTCTCCGATTATATTCATTTCTCCGGTTATTCATTTCTCCATTTTTTCCGATTATATTTATATCATTTTTTTATTCCGAGTTTATAGATCACATCTTACCTTGTAGTAATCGTCCTGACTCTTCCCGGACATTACACAAAAGACAAGTGGTACCTGCTTCGTGGTTTCCCCGGCTTTTACGAAAGCGTGGATAGAAAATAATTGAGAATATGGTTTGTTGATAACTCGGAAGGTGGCGTCCATGTACCACGTTTTAGCCTTTGCCAAAAGTCGCAGTTGATCTTCAGTGGCAAAGATGTGATGTCGCCTTTCCCCTACTTTAACCCGCTTCTGGTAGAAGCCGGGAGCGTTGCTGTCAATAAAGTCTTCATCCAGCTGAAACGACAAACAATATAATCTTCATCAATTTGTGTATTTACCTATTTAACAATATAGCCTTCATCAATTTATGTAAACAATATAATCTTCACCAATTTATGTAAACAATATAATCTTCATCAAATTGTGTATTTACCCATTTAACAATATATTTAATATATTTAACTTATTGTACTTACAGGGGAAGACATGTCTACTGGGTCATTTGGTCGGAGAGTCTGTCTGGTTCGCTGCACCGACCTTATCAATGCTGCAAGAGGTGGTCTGCTATACACTGGTTCGTTGACCGATCCTACACTTGCCATGACACTCTCTGCGATTGATGGACAGGATCTTGTAAAAATATTTCCTATGGCTTCCTTCTTAGCCTGCAATGATATAATAAATATTATACATATTCTTTTTTTTTATTTCAGCAACAGTCAGTACCAGGGTCAGCTGGAGGAATGAATATCTGTTCTTTCAATCTTTTAATATATGTACATATCGTTACTTTAATATTTGTATTTTTATATACATACCGTTACTTTAATTTTAGCAGCAGTCAATATACCAGGTTCTGCTGGGTGAATATGCTCTTTCAAACCTTTCTTGAAGTCGGTACCATCCTGAATCACCGTTGCAGGACAAGTCAGGGAACCATTTCTCTTGCAGCACCTCCATACGGTCGTTTTCTTGTCCGTCTAAAAAAAACATCATTAGTTCTAATTAGATATCATATTCGTCTACACGTAACATTAGTTCTAATATATAAGTTCTAGTTAGATATCATATTTGTCTATAACATACATATATATAACACATACCTTTATCGTATAAGCAAAACCAATGTTGTCAAACAGCTTCTTTTTCCCACGTGTTGTTGCTGCCTCTTCTATAGTGTATGCTAATTCAGGTTCTTCTTCAGCAAATACGCTAATATCTTGCTCATCTTCAGACATTGAAGACTCGATAACCGGATCAGGTAGCTGGTATGGTCGTTCAATGGTGAATGATTCTTCGATGTCCATTTCTTCTTCTGTAGGGGGGAGCGGGGCAACACATCTACAGCATTTCCATTCAAAAGCAGTTCTATGTCGGTTTAAACTCCTGTACTCATCCCGAGTGATGCCTGAAATAGTGATAAATAAAATAATAATATTCCCGGATTGCGGGTACGTGTCAATAAATAACAATAACGACAAATTTATAACGTTTCAATAAATAACAATAACTTACAAGCTGAAACGACAAATTTATAACGTTTCAATAAATAACAATAACTTACAAGAAACGACAAATTTAAAACGTTTTAATAAATAACAATAACTTACAAGAAACGACAAATTTAAAACGTTTTAATAAATAACAATAACTTACAAGAAACGACAAATTTAAAACGTTTTAATAAATAACAATAAAGAAAATTTCATTACGTACCGGAATCGCAGGTTCGATGTTGCCATAAAAGACAAGAATCGCACTGGAGGCCTTCTTGTCGAGGACGGACAGGATTGGTACACTTTACGCAATTTCCACTAGCCATGATAGATTCGTGTAAAAATTGAGAATGATTTGAATTGAAATATGGCACATATATATAATACATTTGAGCTTGGGCTCAATCATTTCTTAACGGCTTCATTATTTCTCAATCATTTCTTAGCGGCTATTAGAAACGCCGATCAGTGTTTTTATTTCTCAATCATTTCTTAGCGGCTATTAGAAACGCCGATCAATTATCGCTATTAATCTTAAATACAACAATGGGATGGTTTCACTAATCGCTGGATTCACTAATCGCTAGATTAAAACAACAATCGCGGATCGATTATCGTCAACAATCTAAACTAATTCATCGTCAACAATCAAAATTTACTCATCAAAATACAATAATATCCGATCAAGTAAATAAACAAATACAAAAAAGGCAAGTAGCATAGGTTTTACTTCAAGTTCAAGTTCAAAGGCGTGTTGTCAAGTAATGGCCTGTATGGGATAAATAAAACAAGACTAACAATGTTTAAATCTTTATTAATGTGAATGGTCTGTCTTGAGCCTCACCTACAACGAAAGAAAAACAGCTATTACTAATATATACACACATAATTTTAAGTTTTATTTGAGTCTGAGTCCGAGTCCGAAATGTCGCCGGTCCGAGTCCTAAATGTCGTTTGACTGAGTCCGAAATGACACCGAGTAAGTCCGAAAAGTCGCCATACTGAGTCCGAAACGACGTTTGTGCTGAGTCCGAAATGACGCGGGACCGAAATGACGTGCTACCGTATAAGACTCCTTACGCAAGTGTCAACACATATCATTACAGTTTGTATTGAAATAAGTAATTCTATCACAAATAGTGAAGACTGAATCACTAAAATAGTTATTGAACGTTTTTCTTTGTGGTAATTATGCGTTCTACATTTTCAAAGCGACATTTCTTTTAATGTAAGCCGCCATGACACCAGCCTGATGAAATCTCGCGAAATTCGCGTAACAGTTGGGTTTCATCAAATCATATAATTATGCGGTAAGACTTCACCTTTATTTCAATGGGAATTGGTTTATTATATGGTTAACTATGTGCAGTACAGTTTGAGGTCAGTTTATGTGTAAATTAAGGGGCAATAGGCTAGTAAACTTTTGGTAGTCATTTGACTAAAAAAACTTGCGCAAAGGAACTCCGCTGCAGTAAGGCGGAAGACATCAGTACGTTAACATAGTGGAACCATTTCTAAGATGGACAGAGATCCTACTCCTTGTGCCGTACAACCAGGGCATCAAAACCACGCCAATTAACACAATGACAGACCTCATGATACAGCGCGCACGTGCTAACCATTCGGCCATTCAACCTCCCACATGAACTGTCATAAAGCTTGCAATAATACACATTGAATTGATACTGGTGACTGATAGTGATGATTGCAGTTCCCATAACCAACCGGTATAATAATATTATGTCTTTTTCAACCATAATTCTGAAGTTTAGCACCCCAAAATGTTCAGATATGTAAATGCTTACCAAAGGAAGTAAAACAGCTCAGAATATGTTGAATTTGTAAACAATTATTATCTGATTATCAATAAAATTCTTCGTAGCCACGTTGCAAAGCCTGCACAATACTGGATCTTCAATGAGTTACTTTCTATTTTTCACTCGGCAACCGGCTGCAGATTTCACTCGGCCAACTTCGGTTACTCCTCTACACCAAACCATGTTTCCAAACAGAGTTATCTTTCCGTGACCCGCAAATTATATTTTTAACAATGAGTTGAATTCTATAGGAGGTGTTGGAACTCCCGCAAACAGTGCCGGTGGTGCAAGTAAGTTATAAAAATAAATACAACTGACAAAAGGTTAAGGACCACCTTAAAGTAAAACAAGACAGGAATATTTGGTCATTTAAGTAATAGATATTTTTTAATTGAGGATTTCGAAAAATATAGGAGTCCATTAGATGATCTGGTCAGGAAAAGGATGAGGATTACAGACAAGAGTAGTGATAACCATCGTCATGTGTATCCCTCTCTCACTTGGAGAGAGAGAGAGAAATGGGGTTTAACGTCCACTCGACTAACATATGGTTCAATTTTATTTCCATAATTCGCTTGCGCGTAGGGATCTTTAGCTGTGGGAGGAAACCGGAGGACCCGGAGGAAACCCACGAGGTTGGACAGGCGACCCTACTCCTTGTCACGTACAACCGGGGATTCGAAACCACGCCAGTTGACTCAATGACAGACTTTATGATACAGCGCGCGCACGCTAACCATTCAGCCATCCAACCCCCCCCTCTCTCACTTGGATCACGTCCTCAACACCTCTTGTTTGATTAGTACCATGGTACCAAAGGAACCTGACACTATTCTTCTTGGAGTGGCAAGACTTATGCTGGAAGTATTTTGTGATGGATATTACATGGTTCCAAATAAAAACCATCTGAGTTTATTGTTGATGGTTAAATATCAAACAGACCTCATTTTAAACGGTGGTGCTTATCTTTTTGACACACATAATTTTTACCGTACGACTGCTCAAAAGCTTTTAATTTTGTTTTAAAATTCTGTTAATTCGTTGATAAATCACGTTATTCTATTCTCTAGTCATGGTAGTCAGTTAAACTTGAAACCTGTATGTTTAAGTTGTAACCACTGTAAAAAGGATGGCTGTAGAAGAATCATGTTCGTTCTGAATCTAAATGTAAAACCTATTCCCCCCCCCCCTCCCCAGCCACTGATCAACAGAAATGAGCAAAGTGAACCTGGGCACTAAACAATATTCAGAATACAAGTTATTTAGAAGTTTATTTTGTTTGTGGCTTGATAAATACAAGAGAACACTTTTCAAGACGTCGTCAGAAATGAACTGTGAAAAAACTTGTATTTAATACACCGGTATATTAGTCATGGTTTATTCAATACAATTACTAAATGCAGCTTTAACAAACTACATTTTTTAATGGTTTATTTACAGAGAAGAAATGGGAAACATTACCAGACTGCCAGACACGCCCAATTGATAACAAAGGTCTGCCTGCTGCCGCTGTACACAAAACACCCAACCCAGAACCAATCGATGCCACAAAATTGCCGCTAGCAGAAAAAATTCGACGACTTTCAATGTTTTTACGAAGTGAAAAAAAAGTAATCAATGAAATTATGGTGAGGTTTTATTTATTAAAGATACATTATGGGAGATGGAGATAAGATAACGAGTTAGCAGTTCTCACTATAATAGTTAAAAACTACATAATGTAAAGGGAATTTGCTAAAAATGTCAGTCAAATTGGTCCACTATGAACCGAAAACTAAGCGGATGAAAGTTTCGCCTAGCCTCGAAACTAATAGTCTCGATTGTCTATTGTTGTGATTTAATTATCAATGAGCGATAGCAGCATATAGAATTGTAATCCAGTCGACATCGAAGGCTAGCCTTGACATCGGGAGTTTATTATGGTCTGGATAAGTTAATTAATGTCTAATTAATAATTTAGATAAGATTTCAGGCCTAAAGAAAGACCTGAAATTGACAGGTTTAGCTCTTGCATAATGCATGTTTAATATTTTTCACAATAATCTCATTAAAAACACAGATTCTGCTTTATTTTTATTTTTATTTTTATTCAAGCATGTATTACGTATAAAATTCTTTTATTTGCCCATCTACATAAGACCAGTTGGGCGAGTTTGGGTGGTCGAAGCGTTAATGCGTCATTACCCGCTTGTACGTGACAAGGAGTAGGGTCGTCTGTTCAACCTCGTGCGTTTTCTCCATGTCCTCAGGGTTTCCTTCCACTGCTAAAGACCCCTAATGAAATAAAATGAACTATATGTTAGTCCCGAAATGACCTAGTTTCGAGTGAACAATAAAGCCCATTTTCCTCTCTTTCCCATTAAATCCTATTTTATTTCATTTTAGTTGTTTGAGAATTCTCTGATGAGTTGTAAAGTTGGAATTAGACCAGATTTTTTGATGTGGTGTGTTCCTAGCCAGAGCTATCGGCATCAACAAGAAAGAAATCAAACTGTCATGTTTCAAGAAGGCGGTGGAACTTTATCGTACCCTTCCTGTCACTGAAATTTTGAACCAGGATGATATGACCCCAAAAGTTATCAAGGAGAAACTGGAGAATTTTAACTCGACCGTTGCTAAGATGGAGAAAGAAACAATTGCAGAGTTACCCCCACCATCTATTTTGAAACAGATCCAAGATATTCTAACCAATCCTAAATATGCTTCAACCAATTCAGTCAGCAAAATGGAGTTGGCGGCCTCTGTGGCTAAATGTCGAGTCCGTTGTCGATATGATGTAGAGAGTTGTAAAGCTGAATCAGGGAAAGTTTATCATAAGGGAATGTACTTTATTGACAACATACTACAAGGTGCAGGTGTTTCAGTTTCCAAAAAAACTGCTAAGTCATTGTGTTATAATATGGTGGTTGAACGACTGACCACCATGAATGTTGAACATGGCAACATCTTAGATGGTGTCGAACAGTCTGTCATAACAGAAGCAGAAGCACAGGTTCAGAGCACTTTGGTAAAGGCAGCACCAAATCCTAGGGCATTTGATCTCCGTGAACAGTTTGTCAAAATGAACGAACTTAGCAGTGCCACGCATCCTGCATCCATCATTACTGTCTTGGATGGAATTTTCAACGATGTAAAATTGACGCCCATTTGTCTGTACCGTCGTAGCATGAACACAGAAATAGAAAAGGAGAAAATTTTCTGTAACCTCTATCTAGCTGGTCATCTCATCATGATTGGTGAAGCAGAGAACCGAACAGATGCCCAAGCAGACGCTTACTCTAAAGCCCGATAAGTTTCACGAACTGTGACCCCGAGTTCATCCTCCCCCAACACAGTAAACTTCAACCACACGACCAAGCAGCAACAGATGTTATCGACTTTCGTGTCAAGGGCAACTGCATTTTGGAAGATAACTGTTCGAATCTTCATCGCTTACAATGGACCGGAAAACCTATATCAACACTACCAGCCAAGGATATCGTTGTCTTTGAGGACGTCAGTTGGATAGTAGATCGTAAAGTTCAAGGTTTCTATATTTTACAACATTCATGTTTTGTCAACAATATGTTGTTGGAATGGGAGTTTTTTGACAATGATGATCGTGTATTCAGGTAAGTTGCCTTAAGGCCTAGTCTTGTATCTTCTGGCCTCAACTGTAAGGCCTAGTCTTGTGTCTCTTAAGACCTAGTCTTGAATCTCTTAAGACCTACTGTAGTCTTGCGTCTTCCGGCCTTAACTGTAAGACCTAGGCTGTGTTTCCTGGCCTTAGCCTTCAAGCCAGAATTTCATATTTTCTATGAAAGTCAAAACATAATTATTTCTATGTCTTTTGCTCAATAGGTTATCAACTCACTATTATACGACTATGGGCATTATTTCCCACCCTTAAAAATCATTGACACAGGAAATAATAACACAATTACCTCCCTTGTTTTCCTATTGCCTCCATGCATTAGCTATCTTCAAATGTTGGAATTCGAAAATGATAATTTTGCCAATTTCGCAGCTGGCAATAGTGAATTATAGGATTAATAGGATTATTCTTTAACAAGGTAGGACTGTGTATGGATACCATCTATTTTAAGGCTTTATTTTAATAAATTTTAAAAATATAACTTAACAAATATGAAATTGTAGCTTTAAGATCTAGTCTTGTCCCATTGATCAAAATTTTGAAATGTTCAGTTTGCTTGTTACTCTTCTTTTGTTTTTAGGGGTGGTTGAGTGGTCCAAGCTCATAAGATCTTTCATTGAGTCAAACCTCCTGGGTGTCAGTCCAAAAATGTTGGTTTGTTTTGTGTGAGTGTTAATCCCCATTTCTCTCTTTTTTTACTTTAAGATGTCAGATGAAGATACAGAAGGAAGATGTTGGAACCGAACCTGCAGTGTCTCTTAGTAAGATAGGCTCTAGAAATTTTGCAGCAGCTGATATCTTGTTTAAGCTCTACGAAACACAACCAGTCATAGAGGTAAGTTATTCTATTGAATACTTGAATTAGCTTTAGGGCTATGGATTCCTGAGCTAAATAGGGCCTACATTATATAAAGATAGGTTGCCAGGCAACTAAACATACGCCCACAGCAGCTAAATCGTCCGAGCGGTCGACAAGAGTTGTCGTATATTTGTTCTTTTGTAGGTAATTAGGGGGCATTTAATAGACAACTTCATACAGATGACATTATAATTTTCGTCGTTTGAGGGTTCACAAGGTTCTAAAAACTAAAACAAGGGCTGTAACTCAGGAAGTAATCTACAGAAATTATTGAAATTCGACAGACTTTTTCGTTTTACTAATTCAAATAATACATATCAATTTCATACAGATCGGATGATAACTTTTGTCGTTCGAACGTTCACAAGATTCAACAAAGTAGAACAAGGGCCATAACTCTAGAAGTAATTGACAGAAATTGCTGACATTCAATAGGCTTCTTCATTTCACTAATTTAAATGATGCATATGAATTTCATACAGATTGGGTGATAACTTTTGTCGTTCAAGCGTTCACAAGATTCAACAATGTGAAACAAGGGCCATAACTCTAGATGTAATTAACGGAAATTTGCTGAAACTCAATA